AACTGACTCACGTTAGTGGGCCTTGGCGCTTTTCTGATAGCTTCAACTTTTTCCGCTGTTGGGTGTAAGCCGTGCTTGTCGATCTCGTGTCCCAAGTATGTGACGCGTTGCTGAAAGAAGCTGCATTTCCTTGCGTTCACTTTTACGCCGTGTTTACTTAGGCGTTGAAGAACTTGCTCCACCCATTCATAACACTGCCCGTCGTTCTCACCAGCGATGACTACATCATCAATGTAGCACGCGGTTCCAGGCAGATTACGCAGTATCTGGTCCATGACCGCTTGGAAAATAGCTGGTGCGCACGCTACGCCATACGGCAAGCGGCGGAATCTAAACAGACCTAGGTGGGTGTTAATAGTGAGCAGTTCCTGCGCTTGTTTGTTTAGTTCGAGTTGCAAGTACGCTTTTGAGAGGTCTATGATAGAAAACACAGTTCCACCCTGAAGATTTGCGAATATGTCTTCAGGAAGTGGCAAGGGATACTGATCGACCTTGATGGCTGGGTTTACTGTGACGCGATAGTCGCCACATAATCTCAGTTCTTGAGTGTTCTTTTTTGGAACAATCACAAGAGGCGTTGCCCATGGACTATGTCTGACCTTATATATGACTCCAGCTTTTTCTAGCTTGACCAATTCTTGTTCAACGCGCTCGCGCAAAGCGTATGGCACTGGTCGCGCTTTCATAAAGACAGGGCGCGCGTCATCCTTCAATTCAATGCTGCATTCGAATCCCTTAATTGTACCAAAACCCGCGCCAAACACTTCGGGAAATTTCTCAGCAAGCAATGCCTCCTTAGCCACCACATTTACTGAAAATACTTCCTGCCAATTTATTTTGATTTTAGAAAGCCAATCTCGGCCAAACAACGTGGGCATTCTAGCACCCTGCGTTTCTTTCGCTATGACAAGTGGCAGTTCGAAACACTGGTCTTGGTATTGCACCTTTACATCCATAATACCAACAGTAGGGACCGTCGTGCCATTGTACGTGGCTAGTTTGACATTTGCTTGCCTGCAAGAGGCGTTTGGGAAGTGTTTAGCACACTCTGTTTCTGACATTATTGACACCGCTGCGCCCGTGTCAAGTTCCATGGGTATCACTTTATCATTTATGCAAACCTTGATTACAATGGCGGGCATACCTTCTTGGTGGTTCGTATTATACAGAGATAGCAGTTCGTTAGTATTTTCTTTCTCGCATTCTTCGCTCTCTACTCTATTTACAAGCTTAGATTTGCACATTTTAGCAACATGACCCCTTTTTGTACACTTATAACAGGTACTGTTCAGAAATCGGCAACTCACGGGTGAATGCTGTCCTCCGCAACGATGACACATTCTTTTCGTTTGTTCTTTCGCTGCCCCATTTTCCTTGTCCCAGCTGGACTGCGTCGGCGCTTCCCTCGAAGGTGCTTTACTCGGTTGTGAGATTTTCCGTTGCCAGTAGATGTCCTCCGTTTCTACAGCTGCTCCTTTAGAACTGGTTTGCAGCATTTCTTTCGTGTCTTGTGTTGCCGCTTCCATGGCCATGGCTACGCTGCATGCGCGTTCCCACGTTACTTCCTCGTCTGGCATTTCCAATAGCCTGCACCGTACTCCCTCGGTACGTATTCCAGCGACGAGCCGGTCACGCAATGCTTCGGTCAAAAAGGCACCGAATTCGCATGTTGCCGCGAGTTTCTTTAATTGGACTATAAAGTCTGCGACGGTCTCATGCGGCTCTTGCTTTCGCTGGTGAAAACGATACCTTTTGGTGACCACGGAGCGCTTGGGAGCGTAATGCTCCTTCAGAACGTCAACAACTTCCGTGAATGACGTCTCAGCTGGTGTTTTAGGCAGCAGCAAGCTCCGCAGCGTGACGTAGGCCTTCTCACCTATAGCCGTGAGAAAGATTGGAAGCTTCTTGTCTTCCGTGATGTCATTGGCCGCGGCAAATACTTCGAACCGCTCCAGGATTTTACCTCGAAGTTACCGTCCTCTTGTTGGAACTCGGGTAACTTACCGACAGTGGTCGCCATACTCAGTTCAAGCTGGTTAGAGTGGGATTCCTAGAAGCCTGCGGCGGATCCCATCCTCGTCGCCAGTTGTTATATCCCATCCTCGACGCCAGTTGTTATATCCCGACACCGGCACATGGTATCACATCTTTATTACTGAGGTGCACACTGCCAGCCTCAACACAAGCAGTACAAAACAGAATAACACCCTCCAGATACTGTGGACAGTATATGTACACACGCTATCTCTCGGCGCATGCGCAACTGGCAGTAGCTTGAGAGCATACATACAAACCCCGCGACTGACGTCACAACAGCGCCCATCTGCTTCTGGTAGTTCCACGCACTCTACATTTCCAAATTTTTCACTTCTGCCATGATGACGCAACCAGAGGACTCGTGTGCTTTGCTATAATGTTTCATCGCATTCAGCAAAGGTGTTACTGGCCCAAGATGCGACGCGACACGAAAAAATACGTAGCGGGTTACGAACAATGTCAACATCACAAGCGTCCCACGACTACTTCACCCAGACTTTTCCATCCCAAACCGCCTCCCAGCTCACCCTTCAAAATTGTTGGTGTCGACCTTCTAGGTCTGTTTCCGCGTTCAGCCAGTGCCAACCGATGGGTCATCATGTGTGTCGACCAACTGACGCACTATGCAGAAACTGCGGCAATACCTACTGCAATAGCCTTTCACGTGTTGCAGTTTATGCTTTGCTATATAGTTCTACGTCATGGCCCTTCACGAGTCGTCATTAGCGACGAGGGACGTCAGTTCGTCGCTGATGTCATTGAAGAGATCCTGCGTCTGTCTGCCAGCCAATTCCACAAAGCGACCCCGTATCATCCTCAGACGATTGGCCTCGGAGAGCGGACCAGCAGGACGCTAATGAACATGTTATCAATATACGTTGAGGCCAAGCTCAAAAACTTGAAGTACTGCCCTATATCCCATACGCATACAAAACCGCAAAGCACGAGACGACAAGGTACTTGCATTTTTTTCGTTTCTACTCCCGCTCGCCTCGCAGTTGTCTCAACACCATTCTACCTTTGACATTAGATGTGGAAGCATAGGTTGCCGAGTCACTATGATGCGTTGAAGAAGCCCATTGCGCTGCACGCCTCCAAACCACTGCATCTCAACAGTGCTCCAAGACCTGGTACAACGTCCACCATCACTCCTTTTCTTACACAAAAGTGACCTTGTATGGTTGTGGACACCTGTCCGCAAACGTGGTTTGTACCAAAAGTTGTTAGCCTGCTACTCCAGACCATTTGTAGTTCTTTACCTTATCAGTGGTGTTACATACATCATCTCCGGCATAACAAGCAATGGTCAGCACTATTCCAAGACACAGCTAACACACGTCGCGTGCCTCAAGCCGGATCACCGTCAACCTTCCTACTGACTCGCCCAGTGGGCATCGTCTGCGAACGGGAAAATGAAACAACCTCGGTGGGCGCATTAAGAGGACGAGGTCAAAGGGGGACTGGCTCACGAGTAGCTTGGTCTCCTGTTTATGGCTGTGAGCCTCTTGCAATCATTTCATTGTGTAAATAAATGTGTTCTATTGTCACACTATGATCGTGGCACTATGATGCATGAAATTCAGAAATGAAAGCTAAGTCTCAATTTTTTGTTCACCAAATAGATCAAATAATGCTAAATACAGTTGAACCCCTAGGTAATAGACACTGATGTGAGAAGCGACTGGTTACAGGAGACACCACTGTGGCCAACGTCAGAGTAAGGGTTAATTAGAATAGGAAAATGCAGTACCCTGCTTATAAGAGGCACCTCATATAAGGGACAAGAACTACTACTACCAGGTGTGTGTGTTATAAACGTGTTTGGAAGTAAGACTAATGATTAGTTCATGGTGTATACTTTATGTATCTAAACTGACGTATGAGTTTTCAACCTTCTTTTTTTAAGGTCACTGTTTACCTGTATAGCATAAGTTGACTTCTTACAAAGTATACAGTGAACAGAATTGGGGGTTCTTTAATATTGTGCAAATTCAGTATGTCCAGAACTAGTAGTCATTAAATTGTTTTGTAGTGTCTTGCCTAAAGCTGCAGTACTTCAAAGGCATATGTTCACTATATTTAAACAGCTGACTAGGTATAAGATATAACATCTGGCTGCATAGCGTAATAGCGTCAGTAATAATACCAGAGATTTCAGTAGCCAAAGACACAAAATGATTGAGGTGTGCCTTAGTGGAGCGCTCCAGGAATTCTGACGGCCTGGGGTTCTTTGCGGGCACGTAAACTTAAGCACACGGGCTCTAGCATTTTTTCCTGCATTTAAAATGTGACCAGTACCTCTGAAATGGAACCCACAACCTTTGGGTGAATGATCAAGCATTGTAACCGCTCTACCATTACAGCAACAGACTGCATAGCACGTTGTTCGTTTTATGTAGGACCATAATATTTGTGCCTCATCTGCAGGTATGTTTTATGGCAATGAAAGGAATACAATGTGTGCAGTGTGGTGTGCAGTCAAGTCATAACAGCTTTACAACTGTTGATTGTATTTTATGCATTTGAGTACAAAACATACCGTTAGTTATATACTTGCATAAACTGGTTCCATGTTCATTCAGTGTCAATAAAAATCAAGGAATGATAAATGAACAGACAGGCACACCAGACAAGGTGCATAGCACTGCTTTGCAAGATTTAGTTTTATATGTATTTTGGTGTAGTAAACAATTGTTCACTCAACTAAAATGGCTATCTGAGCAAGCCAGCACATCAAAAAAATTTAAATACAAATTGCAGGAATGTCTGGGGACAATGAAAGATAAGTGCTGCCTTGTCAAAAACTGTTCTCTGTTGTTCACACTGTTCACATTTTTATTTATTAGTTCAGTGCCTCGTCCTTTGTGTTTCCTTTTAAATTGCACTGTTTCCTTCTGCCGCCATTATGAGAACTAGTAAGCACACTTCCAGCTGCTAGCTCTCAACCTCGCGAATCTGTGCAGATTGTGCCCCGCAGCATGCTGTTTGGCCACACCGGTCCAGTTCTGTGTCTGGCCAGTGCCTCTCCATCTGGTGATGGCTCACTGTTGGTCAGCTCCTCCGAAGCTGGGTATGGGGACATACTTCGCATAGCAATTGATACATTAAAGCACACACACACACAAAAAAGAATTTGAGGTGTACCAATGGATGGAAATCGCTAGCAGAAATGACTGCGACTCCATTTCATTCGTGATTAGTATCAGCGGTGGGATTACACGGTTTACCAATGTTTCTTACATCAGCGCTGACATTACGTAAGCCTGATGCTTAACGTACCAAGTTTTCGAAGGTTTATTTCAACACACTGCTACCTTTATGCAAGCACTAGAATTGGGTACAGATTACAGTGGTGTGATATCTGCGCCAATTGCGAAACCAACAAGTGAAACCAACAAGTGAAACCTGCTATATCCTGCTGCACCTCTGCAGTAATTTCATTATTTGTGCCAAGCACGGGTCAGGACGTCATTGTTATGTTTTTTTTTTGGTGAGAAACAAGACGGCGGGCACTCAGAACCCGTAGGTTACCTCTGTAACTTCAAGGGGTTATCACAGCAGACAGGAAATCACTATGTAGTTCAAGTAGTTCCTGGGCGCACGACTTCCAAACAATTTCAACTCGCCCATACAGTGAAACTTACTGGGTAAGTTTTCTATTACTACTAGACCTTACTTAAAGTTAATTTATCAAGTTGAATAAAATAGTTTCTAACTGCTACGCATACAGTCGGAGAAAAGTAATAATGACCTAGTTGTTCTTGGATGACAGTCTTATCCGAGAAACTGTATTAAAACGGTAACTCAGTACGTTTATGAAAAACCGATGGTTTATATAATTTGTTTTGTGTTTGTTATTCTATGTTCCATTTTACTTGCAGAATAGTTCTTTCAGGGTGTTTAAGTTTCAATGCCATCCACTGGCTAGACTACATCAATAATAACATGTGCTATATAGTTACTGTTAATCTGCTGAGAAAGCACGGTGTCCCAGCTTACTGGTATGTCTCAGCTCGGCTTCTCGAACATGGCAAATGTACTTGCCGAACAGCTTGTCGAGTGTAAATACGCACTCACCCGTTCCCATAACCATAACTTTTGTCGAGCACAGATTAGGTAACGGGAACCGAGGACCAGCGACTAAATCATGTTCATTACTAACCACCCATCAACCAGGACTCTGATGATTCTGCTTTTAGAGCACAACAGACACTTCTCCACACAATGTAGCCGTAGGTTCTGCTCAAAGCCCAAATATCATCATTTTATTTATTTTTTTTGAAAGTGAATAGAATGAATGGAAAATTTAGACATATTGTGCTTTCAGTATTGCAACGAAAGCATTAGGAAAAGTCAGAGACATAAACACCAAATAAATTCCTGGTGTAGTGAGGGAAGTGTAGTGAGAAGTGTAGTGAAGGGAAGTGTTAGGTTGCTTGAGCTCACTGGACTTGCTGTACTTGGGCATGTCTGCAAAAAAGCAAAGAGCAGAGACCTAATTTTATGTTTATAAGTACTCATAATGAACATGCATGCATGCGTGCATAAATATATCTAATTTGATGCGTGGTGTAACAGCTCCGGCTTCGAGACAAATATTTGCGTCCGAAACTGTGTGGCAAGAAACTGCTCCAAACGGTTGTTATGCTGCTCCGAAGTGAGATTTTTACTTGCTTTTGAAGCTGTGCCATAATGGCTTTCGTTAATCACATCACTGAGATTAAGACTGTCCTGTAATATCTCTGTGCACAGCGAAATGTCCTTGTGGGACCTGACAGATGGCAGGTGTCTGGAGAACAACAAGCTTCCTTATGTCCACACGCACATGCAGGTGAGCCACACACTTGCTGGTATTTCACTTAGGTGTATGAGCAAAGCCTAGTGAGGGGTACGGTGATGTGTAGTTGGGCGACCACCAGTCATCCTTGTTGCTTCAGAGCGAGCCCGCTATACTAGAGGACAACTTATTTTTGACTTTGGAGTGAAGGCTATGGAGGTGGACCATTTTCACATTTGTGTTGCTGTGCAAGTAGTACAGCAGCTTGCGTCCTATTTCAGTTCAGCTTGCTTGCACCGTTAACGCCTTCTTAAATACATATACACAAAGAATATAAATGCGACTGACATTTTGATCATTGAGTGTACATTTTAGTTACATATTACAAGTACACTTTTTTTTGAGAACTAAACCGCATATTTGTGGCTGCACACTGACCAACTACGTCACGGACACCATGTTTGCTTTAGAAGACGAGCGGGCTGGAAAGGTGGTGCATTCTAAAATATGAAAAGAAAAGGAAGAAATTCATGTGAAGTGAACTATAACTGCATTTTGCCTACGTCTTCCCGCAAGTGTTCAAGTCTCGTAATAAATGAAGCAGCATTTATTTTGCCAAGGCAAATGACAAAATTTCCAGTAAACCTAAGTACTCTCTTTTGGTGCTGTAGCAGGCATTCACTTCAGTTCTGTAGCTTCTACAATGCTGTTAAGAAACGTTGTCGCTGAGTGTAGGCTGTTGCTGGAGTGAAATGCATCAAAGTGAATGAAGCCGCCTTCATTATTGGCTCAAAATTTCTTGCAAGTGTTTAGCGGATATCATGCCTCTCAGAAGAATGATGAAAAATAGCATAGGGAATGCCGGCCTACTACCCCAAAAAAAATTCATTATTAATGCCCTGGTGCGCATCAAGCAAGTGTGCTTGCAGTAGTTACCCAATGAGTGTTTAAAAAAAGCTACGAACGGCCACTCTTCTAGCTTTCACTGTGACTGTGTTGTGCCTTCCGCACAGGCCAGGTGTTTTATGAGTCGCCCGAACTATTATAACAATATCGAGTGTGTGTAAATCACATGTTATGTCTGAGCCTTGAAGTTGTATGTAGAGTTTAGACAATCAGCGGCATGCAGCACTTGAGTGTGAGCATCACTTGTAAAGCTGTTCACTTCAGGTGTGCAGTTGAAACCTTATAAAGTTAGGGCTGGCTAAAACACATTCCTTCATTTTTGTTTTTGCTAATACTGTATGTTTAATATTGGCATGCTTATGGCTTGTAAACTTTTTGTTGAGCCCAAGTAATCTTTGACAAAAGCTTGGTTATCAATCTGAGATTGTGCTTTCAAGTCATTTCTCAAAGAAGCTGTTTCATTTGACAATTTCTTGTTCACATTTCGTGATTCGCTGGCTGCCTACAGTGATAGCAAGTTCTGAAAGCAAATTTTGTGAGATGCGAAAGCATGCATTGGAACATTAGGCAGTCTTGGTACTACTCAAAATCACAATTTTACTTTATTAAGTTACTGATGCACAAAGTAAAAATATTGGAAGAAATCCCAAAGCATAAGGACATATGCTTTTCTGTCAGGTGGTGTACAAATTTATTAACTTCATCAAGCATAATGGTTCAAATAAAGAAATAATACAATCAACAATATAAAATAACTTAGTGATAGTGATAGCAATGTCGAGAATTTGGCAAATGCTTTTCTCATAAGGGTTCATCATGCAACAATAAAGATTATAGATAATGGAAACTCAATTACACTTTTACAAGTCTGACTTTTTTCATTCTTATGAGAAGATTTATTAGCTTGTTTGTGTTTTACAACCTCCTTTTATATGCAGACTTGTCATAGCTTTTTGCTATGACAAGTCTAAGACTAAATGAGCTTTTAGTCTCATTCTTTCTTGAAATTGTCATGCTAAGCAAGCTATCGTGGTACAGTTTATGAGAGACATGCATTGGGGTGCTGTTCTTGTCCTATATATGAGGTGTTTCTTATGAGCAGAGGACCACATCCTCATTTTTTTTTATTTACCCTGTTTTTATGCTAAGTGCGTTGGTGTCTCTTATACCCAACTGTCATTGCACCAGTGCCTCCTATAAAGGGGTTCAACTGTATAGTCCAAATAAAAATTAAAGGACCCTTAAACTTCGCCTTTAGAAGTAACGCAATAGCGATATCCTGTTTCTAGTGCAAACACTCAGTGCATGAAACCATTTCGCACTTGCTATGCACCAACTACGTCACCTTAAGTGAATAAGCACAGTAACTTGTGTGCCTTTTGTAGAGGGTGACTGGCTTTAAACCACAAATTCATTATGATAATCACATGTTCTTAAGCTTGCTGGCAATGTCTGCTTGTACCAAACACTATTACTGCAATATTTCATCTTGGATTGTGAAGCATATGTACAGGACAAGTGTGTTTGTGAAGAATGAAAGCTACTTTCACTGCATCTCCAAGCAGAGGAAGTCCTTTTCACTCTGTTGACAAGCACATGCATTGCCGTGTGGTAGAACATCAGCTTGCCACGCAAACGACCCGGGTTTGACCTAACTTGGGCCCAAATGACCCTGGTTCGGTCTCCACTCTGACCCAGAATCTTTTCATCATTTATTTTTATTTGCATCATTCTCGATTTTTCGGTCACTCATAAGATGAGGATTTTTCGCTCACAACCAATGACGCTGAATTTCTTTGAAATGCGCTCTTTAACTCTATTGCCTTAAAACATGCAAACAACAAAAGACTGGACACAGGGTGTGAGGGCTATAGACACCACAATGACTGCATGGTGCTTGCTTGTAGTTCGTGGTCTAGTGTTCTCTGCATCTGTTTCATTTTGGGCTAGAATGACTTTCGTCAACTATCTACCAACTAGCCCGACAACAAGCTGTATTGCTAGGTGCGATAATTCTGAATTGCATATGTGTTGATCCAAGGCTTCTTGCAGTCCCACATGCTTTCTGGGGGCGAAACTTCATATCTCTTCTGCAACGGCTACTATGCGGATGTTGTTGTCCTTGACACCATGACACTGACTGTGGCCTTCGAGCTGGTGTCACGCATTTCTTCAGACTGGATCAGTGCCATGCATGTTATTAGAACGCCTACTCGAAATGGTGAGTGAATTACAAGTTTCAAAATAATTTTTTACTGTAGAACATCAGTTTTATGCTCTTGTTGAGTGGAAAAAGCAGAGACAAATAATAATTGGCTTGTCACGTGGACTTGTTCATTTTTGTTTTCTGTTTCTTTGGACATAGGTATAATACGTACACATCTCGCAATAAACAATCAGTTGAAGTCGGTGCTTGAGGCTTCTTCTCTTCACATCATTTCTTGGGAAAGCTTCGCACAGCCTACAATGATGAAAAGTAGTTAAAGCTTTCAAAATGTCACTTCTTTTATAGGAAAATTTTAGAATACTAGTGGGAAAAGTGGCAAGCATTAAATTTTTCACCTTAATCCTTGATGCCTCTAACAAAACATTGGGATGACACAACGCCTGTGGCGGATGCTCATGCTCTTTGTTCTTCTTTCTCTTTATTATAACACACTCCCATGGCCAACAAACTGTTACGGTCTGTCTGCTTCAATTAAGGAAACTTTCTAAATAGGACACTTGATTACAGAAGCAGACTCAGGCAACCTGCTCGAATGCCCTCGTCACAACCCTGAAGCACTTTGGTCCACCGAGCCAGTTTCCACAACATGCGAGCGAGTTGTCAATCGTGCACCAGGAGCACATCACAGACAGTCATAGTGACCGCTGGTTGCCATTTTGTGGGCGTAAGAGCAGCAAGTAACCCTTGTAGCAGCACTTCAAAGATAATCTGTTAAGGCATGTTCACGTATGATTCGATATCATAGAAGCACAGTTAGCATGTTTCATGTTTGCAGAGGAACAAATGCGAAGGCTAGAAGGGGCACAGTTTAATGGGATGTGCTTATAAGCAAGTTCCTTATGTTCGCTGCTCCTTATGTTTGCTGCTAACTTGCACAGAATAGTTCTTGTGTCTTCAAAGGACAGACACCTGCAACTTAGTGTGTGTTAAGGGAGTTATTTTAAAAAAAAAACGGGTGCTGATTGATGTCGGAATAACTCGGAGAGTCGTTTATTATTAATAAAGCTTTGACACTGTTATGGGAACAAAAAAGAAATATAAGAACAAAATTTGACGAACACTTCTGCGTTGGTGGCTATCCTGACCCCAGTGAGCCATGAGCCATGCACACACGCACACCTTGTGAACATTGGTTCGCTGTGCCTTGCTGTAAAGCACATCCGTAAAGCATGTCTGCATCCAGCAGCATGCACAATGGGCCTCACTGGTGTCACATATGACTGCCAGCGTGTATGAGGGTGGCTATCGAGTGGTTATGGAGGGTTTTGAATGTGTCTTTGTTGATGCGAACAGTTTTTGCACTACAACGGTATTCTATGACGCGAGTTTACATGCCAAAAAGCGGTGACAAATCTGGTGATCTCAAGATGAAGAACGTGCATTACACTGCATCCCGAAATGTCAATGTGAGCTTTACAATAAATCTGCCCAGCTGATTGACTGTCATGTGGTTTGCAGAACCCAACTTTACCTCCCACAGTGCTCGTTTGGTTATGGTACTTGACTGCTAATGCATAGGTTGGGAGATTGAATCCTGGCTGCTGTTTAAATTATTTTTACTTTTATCTTTTATTTTATTATATCCCGCCAGAGGGCCAGAGGCATTACAGAGGGAAAGTGGTAACAACACTTCGACAAAAAAAGAGAAAAGGGAACATAAAATACAATAAAACAAAAAAGTAAATGATACCGCACATGAAAAAAGGGAGAAAAATGTGAACCAACGGTGAGTTTAGAGAGAGCCTAAATATGCAATGTTAGCTGTAGGATTACAAAACTGTTTATTATGAATAATGTTCACGAAGTCCACGGGAAGGCCATTTCAATCATCAGAGGCTTGTAGCAGATATGATAAGAGTGTGCAGTTTCACATGAAGAGAGCTCGACTTTATGACGATGGTCCATGCGATGGGATACAGAAGTTGGCTCAGGGATGAGGCAATCCCGTAGTGCAGGATGATGATACATTTTATGGAACAAGGCAATGCATGACACTTTTCTGCCCGACAATGACGACGGGAGGGAAAGGTCTGTTTCACGGAAATCATACTGGTGGTGCAGCTGTAATTAGAGTGAACGAAACATTCAGAGTTACTGTGAACCATTTCTAGAGCAGAAATTAAGTTTGCTTGGGTGGGATCACAGACCGGTGTAGCATACTCAAATTTCCATCGAATTAGTGTTCTATAAAGGAAGAGTTTAAAGGAAGAAGGAACATGATAAAAATTCCGACGAAGGCAACCTAACATGCAATTAGCTTTGTTAATTAAGTGCTCGATATGAGTAGACCAGTTCAGGTTTACTGTGATGTACAGTGCTCAACTCACATGTCTACAACGATAAAGCATCGCGTGCGAAAAAGCACCAGCGACATCTGTAGTCGTAAATACGCCACATCTGAGCATGTGCAGTGCCAGTGATGTGCCTACCTTGCAATTTCCACCCTTCTTTATTCCCCCGGCCGCAATGTCTGCTTTGGTCACTGAAGCGCTGTCAACATTATACAACCGAAAGAAAAGAAAAAAAAGTAACCAGCAGTTGCCTGTATAGCCGCCTTCTATACTGTAAACTTATTCACGCCTCGTGATATCATATCACAGGAAGAACGGTTCACCTTGGTTTTTTTTTTGCTTGAGTTTTTTCCCCCCTAAATCGTTCAGAGCGCTTTTGATGGCCAAAGTGGTTGTTGCATCCGCGGTGATAAAGAGGGATCAGTATTGCAAGGCAGGCACATCACTGGCGCCACGCATGCTCAGATGGGGCGTATTTGCGACTGCAGATGCCGCTCGTGCTGTTACGCGTGCGCCGCTCCGTCGTTATAGACATGTGAGTTGAGCACTAAACAGGCCGAGGTATTTATATGAAGTCATTCTAAATTATTGCTATCAATGTATTATGGTGGTGGGCAGAAAGTTTTTCTAGATACGTGCATGACTTCACATTTAATAATATTCTACATCAGCGAGCGACGGGCTTCGACCGACACGAAGAGACGTGACTTTGTTACTTGCCAAAGTTGATGTCAACTCAACTCTCTCAGAGCAACAACAGACCGAGCTACCTAAGCTGCTACATAAATTTCAAGAGTGCTTCGCATCCACCTCGAGGGTTCGTTAGATACCAATCACCAAACACCGAATAATTATGTTCACCTATGCCTAACCCATAAAACAACACCCTTGCCGCATTTCTTCAAAAGAGTGTGATGTGATAAAGGTTAAGGTCGAAGAGATGCTGCAAGATGACATTATACAAACTTCCAAGAGTCCCTGGTCATCTCCAGTCGTTCTCGTGAAGAAAAAAGATGGAACACTGCACTTCTGCCTGGACTACAGAAAACTTAATAGCGTGACTAAAAAAGACATCTATCCGCTGTTCCGCATCGATGATTCTCTCGATAGACTGCAGCAAGCCAAGTATTTTTCATCGATAGACTTGAACAGCGGCTACTGGCAGATCGAAACTGATGAACGAGATCGTGAAAAAACCGCCTTTGTTACACAGGATGGCCTATATGAATTTAAAGTGCTTCCCTTCGGCCTCAGTTCTGCACCTGCAACATTCCAGAGAATGATGGACACGGTTCTTACCTGTCTGAAGTGGCACACTTGCCTCGTTTATCTGGATGATGTGTTTTCTGGCACCCTTGAAGAGGACCTGATGCGCCAGCAGAGTGTGCTGGAAGTGCTCCGCTCTGCTAACCTGACACTTAAACCAGAAAAATGACACTTCAGTTACAAAGAACTTAAGTTTCTCGGCCATGTTGTCAGTACAGATGGTGTTCGACCAGACATTGACAAAAGCACTGCCGTGGCTTTGTTTCCTGTTCCACATGATAAGAAGGCAGTGCGTCGTTTTCGCAGACTCTGTGCGTACTATTGCCGCTTTATAGCCAATTTTTCTAGGATTGCGGAACCACTCACTCGACTCACTCGTGAAGACGTACCAATCGTCTGGGACGAAGAGCAGGATGTAGCTTTCTCTGAACTACAGGAGTGTTTGTAGATGCCGCCAGTCCTCGCTCACTTAGACTAAGATGCCGATACTGAGATTTATACTGACGCCAGCAACGTGGGTCTTAGTGCTGCTGTCCTCGTCCAACAACAAGAGGGCACTGAGCGAGTGCTAGCATACGCCAGCCGCATTCTTCTCCGTGCCGAGGTCAACTACGCCACATTAGAGAAGGAGTGCCTTGCTGTTGTATGGGCCACAATGAAATTCAGGCCATAACTTTATGGACGTTACTTCAAGGTAGTGGCCGGCCATCATTCGTTGTGCTGGTTAGCCAACCTACGGGACCTGTACGGGCGTCTGGCGCAATGGAGTCTTCGTCTACAGGAATTCTATTCTTGGATTGCTTACAAATTGGGTTGAAAGCACGAATATGCTGATTTATTGTCCTGTGCACCTGTCAAAATTTGTGCCCACGACGTCAGGGATGACGATGGCTTCCTTGGGGCCCTTACTACAGCGGATCTCAGTACACGACAGCGCGAGGACGATGAAAATTGTGCAGTTATCCAAAACCTTGAAGGAGGCAACTCTTCCATACGTCGATGCCTTTCTCAGAGTCTGTCGTCGTTCTGCCTGCGAGACCGAGTTCTGTATAAGAAAAACTCCAACCACAATGAGAAAAGCTACCTTATGGTCGTGCCAACTGACATGCGTAATGACATTCTTCTCGCTTGCTACGGTGAGCCTACATTTGGTCACTTAGGTTCCTCTCAAACCTCTCGCCAGAGTTTGATAAGTGTGCTACTGACCTAAGCTTTCCGCATTCCTTAAGCGATACGTGAAAAGCTGCCGGGAATGTCAACGCCACAAATCCCCGCCACTGAAGCCTGTGGGGCCTCTTCAACCAATAGAACCACCTAGGACACCATTCGATCAAATAGGAATGGATTTATTGGGGCCCTTTTCGCTGTCATCTACTAAGAACAAGTGGATCGTAGTAGCCACAATCTATTTGACGAAGTACTCCGAAACAAACGCACTGCAACACGCTACGACTTTCAATGTTGCCCACTTTTTTATGGACCAGATTGTTCTTCACCATGGTGCCCCATCGTGCCTAATTATAGACAGAGGAACAGCATTCACGGCCCAGTTCATTCATGACGTATTCAAGCTCAGCTACGGGAGCCATCGCAAGACCAGGGCATATCATTCGTAGACCAATGGCTTGACAGAGCAACTCAACAAAACCATCGCTGACATGTTATCCATGTACGTAGAAGTCCAGCATAAGACGTGGGACCAAGTGCTACCATACGTCACATTCGCGTACAATACTTCCATCCAGGAAACTACGCCATTCACGCCTTTCCGTCTTGTCTATGGTCGTGAGGTTCAAACAGTGCTGGATGCAATGCTTCCAAACAATTGCGACGCTTCAATCAAGCCTGACGCTGTGCAACTTACCCAGTATGCTGAAGATGCGTGCCAAATAGGACGCTTACACATTATGCACAAGCAGAATACAGACGCATGCCGCTGCAACGCCCGCCATCGACAAGTTGACTACCATCCACGCAATCAAGCTTGGGTGTGGACTCTTGTTCGACGCCAAGGGTTGTCAGAAAAACTCCTCAGTCTCTACTTTGGACCCTGCAAAGTTTTGGGACGCGTGAGCTATGTGAACTACGAGGTAGTCCCTGACAGGGCCTTCTCGCCCAGGCGTCGTGGTCACCGCTCGAAGATTGTGCACATTGTGTGACTGAAGCTGTACTTCACGTGGTAGTGTGACTGCGCATGAACGATGGTCTTATGTTTCGGGTTTTGTGTATGTGCCTACTTTGTGCAGGATTGCACTGACTTTGCCTATGTATTTCATAGCATCAAAGCGATGCCCATCTTTCTCGTTTTTTTTTTTTTTTCAGAGGTAGAATAGTGCCACTCATTCATTTGGTACGGCGAGCGTGAGTCATGGCTGCCTGCTAGAATGGAAGAAGATGAATGAAAGAAGATGCAAATAGAAAAATGTATGAGTTTAAAATGGAAGGAAGATAATTAATGTAGATTAAAAATAGTAACGGCCCAAGAACTGAGCCTTGAGGAACGGCTAAATACGGTCTCTAAATGCAGAGCCAATAAAGGAATCAAGTTCTGAGCTGCAGTTCAGAAGAAAACACTTCTCAGTAAATTATTATCAATATTAAGATCATCTAGTGTAAGCAGAAGTAATTTATGACCTACCTTGTTAAATTCCTTACAAAATTCTAAAAAATATGCAACATTACTGTTACCACATTAGTGTTCGAAGCAAATTGTGTACTTTGAGGTGCATGGTAGAGAACTTAAGGTGGTTGAAAATTTGAGAGCCCTCCTCTGTGGCATGTCTCATATTGATATCGTGGTTTTGTGTCGTCAAGCCCCTACAGTTGTTATTACCTATATGGTTCCATGTTCGACAACCATAAACAGACTAGCTGTGAAGCAAAGCTACGAAGTGTTGCCGGGTGGCAGTGAAAGTTGTTGTCAATTGCAGTGGAGCTTCGAAATGTTGCGATTTGTGTTGGCTGGGAAATCACACTCATTATCACTGCTGCTTCCAGAAAACCTCACAGCCGCATTGCTTGCAATCTCTAGCTTCTTGTCCTGAGCCTTAGCATGCTTGCTTTAGTTCTCTATCAGTTCTTTCTTATTACTTTGTGAATGTTGATAGATTTTCTTCAAAAATAAACATCACGACGTTGATACTTTCTCAATTTCTGAAATATCTGTGTTTTTTTTTGTTGATGAACTATTGAAAAGTCATGCACAAGGTCTTTTTTCGATACAGTGCTTTTATGTTAATGATTTATAAATGTAGCGAGAGAGACGTGACTGTGGCCAACGTGGCCGTGCCGTTTTTTTACTGCTTTATTTGGAAGGCAAAGTGCAATGGGGCCAGCTGCAGCGTCCATACTGCCATTAGCGAGAGCGCGTTTCGTTCTGGCTCGTGCCTTGAACCCTGCATGAGCTGAGCGAGGGGCGCGGTGCAGTTGCTAGGAAATGATGATGATCATTATTGAAAGGTGATGAAGATGGCACTACAGATGAGGCCTGTGGCCTCATCTGTAGTGTACAAAATGTACAAAATGAAGGAACGAAATGTACAAAATGTATAAAATACAAAATGGAGGAAGCAAACCAGAAAATTGACTGGTAAATACTTGGAAAAGAGCAGGGGGCCAAACCAAAAAGAATTATCGGTTAAGAAGAAGGTGAAGGAAGCCGAGACCGATATGTCGAGAATCGGCATGATTAAGAAGTCCGCACTAGAGATCTATCAAACATTTAAGCAGGAAATTGCCAAGGAAAGGATCAATGATAATACTCGAGGTAGTTCTCTACTGTTTGAGGCCAGGACAGGAGTATTGCGAACCAAGACATATTGGGCCAAATACGAAGGGGTAGACACGATATGCAGTGCGTGTGGAGAGGAAGAAGAAATTGTCGAACACTTGATAATGTTCTGTAAACGGCTTCACCCTATTGTTCAGGATGATGGCGCAGAGTTTTTCAAAGCACTGGGGTTTAGGGACAGGGAGAGCAAAATAGACGTTAAGCTGGTAGAATTAACTAGAAGGAGGTTACCTGGTTCGTGGCTAAAGTCAAGGCATGAGTGAAATTTAAACCCTTCACTGCAAAGTACGAATCCCCAACCTCACTATTTAAAGGAAAAAAAATATAGTTTTTGGTTTATTAAGTATTACGGCTTGGTAGCGCTAATCATGCCCGATCTAAAAGGTACAGCCATATCCATCCATCCATCCAGGCATGCTGTCCCCAGGCACTTTCATCATGGTTGCCGCATCTCTCAAGTTTGACCGTAGTTGGTTACATGAACCATTCCTTTCTTTTTTGTTATGTAACGTCACAGGCGGTGTTGCAGTGATCATGATGCCCATTGTAACATTGATGTGTGTGTGGTCATTAAGTAAGAATGACAAAGACGCATTAGGCAGGTCATTTGCCACGCAAGATGAAGAGAAATTTTTGTTTAGGAATACAGTAAGCAAATTGAATGTGTTCTTTTTACATCCCTTTTCCTACTGTCTTTCTCTTTAAAAATATTACTCAATAATGAATTCCTCAAAAGGCATTGAACCCATTCCAATGTGTTGCAAAGGAGAGAAATTCATTTCAAGAAACGTTTAAGCAATTATTCAAGATATGAGGTCAAGTGACAGAAAATTTTGTTAAAAATGAGTAACCATTGAAGGTTATTAGTCTGCAATATAAAGCACATTTTTAAGGAACATGTGAGCATTATAAAGCAAGTCATATGTTTCATTAATTTTTCATAATTAAAAATTTAATAAAAGTATGCCTTGCGCGAACACTTCTAACTCCAGTTAGAAATGAAGCCTTGGCATGTTCGATGAATCGATACGAATGAGATCTCATGAATAATAAAAACATAGTAATTAAATAACCATAAAATTAAGGACTAGTGCTAGGGGCACCTTCGTTATGGTGGCTAGAGAGGAAGGTGTCAGCATCGCCGAGGCTGCACCGTGCATGCCGGTGTGGCAGATTTTCATGATGCCGACAAGTGGCACGTCATTGTTGCGGGAGTTTTCGCACTTGAACTGCATAAACAGCGCTGGAGCGAATGCGTAAGGCGGCGAGTGCGTTTGATCAGTTGCCGCGACATGGCGCGCCTGTGTGTACGTACAGATTGCATGAGCAGCGCGAGTGTGTGTTCATTGTGCATCTGGACAAACGCGTTCCTCAGCCATCTGTGCAGACAATCAACTCTTTGCCATTTAATTTTGGTGGTGAAAAGATGAACAGCGCTGATGTGGGGGTGCTGATGCCAACATTGAGAGCCTGTGGTGCATTGTCCTGGAAAAATGCTGCGTCGCCGGGGCGCCAATACTCACACCTCCTCCTCTAACCACCATACCTTCGTATAACAGACAGCCATATTAAATCTTGTGGCACGATCTTGCTCACAGAAGTTCATTGCACACCTACTAATGTGATAAGAAAGTGTTGAAAGTTTTAATCAAAAATGTTTATTAGCAAAAAAGTTATCACAGTTCGTATGCGTAAAAATACCGGAATCACAAGTCCCGAGAGAAGTAACAAAAAAAGACTTGTAACAGGTGCAGTGTTGACACAAGAGGATTAGGGGGTTAAAATTATGAAAATTCATAGCCAATTCTATTGTGGACCTTTCATCTATGTGCCTTTTCTCGAGCAGCTACTCTTCAATTTCCAGCTTGTCTTGCAGTGTCGGTGCCATGACGAGGCACTTTAGCGCTGTGGTACTCATTATTTGTGAGGTATGCTTTTCCAGTGTAAGGGTCAGGCCTGATTTGAATTCGCTTAACATTATCAAATGTGCTTCGGTTTTCAATACCTATTGAAGTGCCACACATCATCAAAAAAAGCAAATTCGATGGCTTACAGGCTCACATGCATGTCATTGAGCGTGAACCACCCATGTACTGCTTTATGCGTTCTCCTAGTAAATGTTTTATGACTTTCATGTGATTAAAAGTGATGTGTTGACAATTCTTTCAAAGAATTCTGACATGTCCACACTTGATATGATTACATATCATATTACATATCATGCTAATGTTATCATCCACACATATCTGGCATTTTCCAGTTTAGGTTCCATAGTAAATGGGTGGTGCAACATTTTTGCTTGTATCTTTTGAAAAAAGCTGTGTAGACAGAAGTGTTGTGCAGCAAAATGATGGGCAATAAATTGTGCATGAGCATAATGAAAAATGAAAACGCGGCATATGGAAAAAAAATTCGCTTTTTTCACTTGGCCTCATACCTTAATCAGAGTTATGTCTTATGGCTACTTATGGAAAGTAGCGCTTAACATAACTAACGCAGATATTCCAGTTTTTTTTTTTTCTGTTTGTTCAACACTTTGTGCAGATGATGTCGTCGTAGCCATCTCTGCTTGTGGCATGGCCAAGGTCTGGACACTGTCGCCAGAGAATTACAAGGTTTGTTGCAATCAATGTCTTAATTCTTCAGGAATGATGGCCAGCAATAAAAGAAATGAACAAAATTGCTAGAAACTTCAGCATGCAAAACAAACGGTTCCTAAAAGTGTTAAGTAACGTTTCTGTTATTCAGAAAGGAAATTGATTTCATCGTGGTCCTAAACTTATCTGATGCATTTTTACCTATGCATAGCATGGTGTGTGTGGTACAACTAGTGCAGACTTACTTCAGAAAACCAGTTGACAGTCATAAAGAATGACTTTACATTCAATAGCTCCCATGTGTAATTGGAATTAATAGCATCGAGTGGACATTCAGTAAAGCCGCATTAATTTGAACTCGGTTATTTTGAAATCTTGCTTAATTTGAAATATTTTCGTAGTCCCAGATTTCACAATGTAAGTCTAAGCGGATAGTTTGAAGCGGAGGTCAGCACCAGTCCAGTTAATTGAAAACTTTATGTGTCATGTGCCGATTCCCTATCCCAATTTCGCCAGAAATAGGCGGAAACAACTGCTCTTAAGAACCACAAGGGGATGCAACATAGTGATTCTAATAAGTGGCAGTTTAGGCACTCCAGCCTTCCTACTTCCAGTGAAAAAAAAAAAAAAAAACGGTTTTATGGTTGATCAAAATGTGCACTTGCGGGAAAGAAGGCATGCTTCACTGCAACACAGCAGTGGAGCGCGGGCAGCATATTGCATGTTTCTCGCTACGTCAGCGCGTTGTGATTTTTCTATTATTTCTGGGATTGTAAAGAAATTTAGTACAAGATAGGTTGGTAGAATTCGAGATGTACGCGAACCTTCGAATGCCGGTTGCTCCAGCAAATTGTGGACTTGCACTGCTGGCAGAGCTCTTGCTTCCAACGCCTACTTCGAAAACTAAGCTTGAAAGCTTCAGTGGTCATTCTTTTCAGCCAAAACATATAACAAATTTAATCACACTGGCCATTATTAAATTCTTCATTTTACCAGAAAGAATTGGCGAATGGTGGCATCATGGCAAGCTGCCACAGCCAGGAGCAGGCAATATGCTGCCCGCTTGTCATTACTGCAGTTCAGTGAAGCATGTCTTGTTTTCCGCAAGCATGCATTTCAGTTGATCAGGCCTGCGTTTTTTTTTTTCTTTGTGGCAGCAGCGAGGGTTATGGTTCCTCCGTGTTTGCGGCAAAATTAAGACCAGGTATTGCAGGAAAACATAACCTTCGGAGCCGCAAACTAAGCGGCACAGTAAATGATCAGCCCTGATTACTTTGAATAATTGTAAGTTCCTTGCATCCCACTTTTTGTATGTCCTGTTAATGCGAGAATCGGCTTAATTCGAAGATTTTTCATGGTCGCAGTGACTTCGAATTAACGAGGTTTTACTTTTCTCCCCCATGAAAAATTTGACATAGGCTCACTTGTGTTAACTGGTTCCTGAGATTAAAAAGGCACACGATCAACCATGTACCGAAAAGCTGTGCAATAAAGTAGTCAGCATTAAATTTTTTGGACTTGCCCAGAAGCCATGCAAGCATTAAAAAAAAAAATCGAGCACTCAGAAAAAATGAATTCATTCGTCTTAGTGTGCTCACGACGCAAACTAGTCATATCCACATCCGAAGGGCCTCTGCAAAGTGCATACAAACAGACCTCCCATGCAAACTTGTAATTACGTTGCCACAGTAGCTTTCATCTTGGCCAAACAATGTTGCAGTGCTGTATATTGCCGCACATATGTGCCAGTGGCGGCTACAACAAAGCAGCGCGAGTGTCCTTGGCAAAGCGCAGTGATGAAGAGGACATTGTAGTCTTTTCTTGTGATCGATAAAGTGTATTTGTGTGGTGTTCTTTGTGTGCTCATTGATCTCGCGTCGTCACACTGGTGGATGTGCTGTGTAGTATTCATGCTCGGCACTCCTTCGCGGAGCTGACAGTCTATGCCCGGAATTGCTACTACACGTGGACACATAGGTCCACCGTTTCAGTCACCGTCTGCTAAGCCTAGCGCCCGTGCTCAATCCCCTGCGAGAAAGTGCCAGAAATCGCTTGCCTCCTTCAGCCACCATGGCCACTGCAGCTGCATCTTACATAACACTTCAGAATCCCATCATTCCTAATTGTTTTCATGGTGAGACCTTTGAAGACACCCAAGACTGGCTGGACCAGTTCGAACGCTGTGCGAAGTACAACCAGTGGGCCACCTTAGAAAGCAAGCTTACGAATGCGTACTTCTACCTGAAAGACAATACCCAGACGTGGTACACTAACCAGGAATGAAGCTTGGCTAGTAGAACGACTTCTGCAACCAGCTGCTTGACATCTTCACTAGTCTCAGCAGAAAGGCGCAACGTCTCTTGGAAGCTCAAATACAAAAACCAAGCGAGAGCGTTGCTATATTCACTGAGGACATGACCAGTCTTTTCCGCAGGGCAAAGCCCGAGATGCCAAAAGATAAGAAATTACGGTATCTCATGTGAGGTGTGAAGGAGCAACTGTTTGCTGTGCTTGTGAGAAATCCACTAAACACATTAGCTGAGTGCTTCAATACGGAGTCCCCGCTGACATACTAGTGTCGCAAAACCCATTTGTGGCGTACTGCTGACTGTCGACCGATATGCTTTTATTGTGGCGAAGTGTGGCACGTCTACAAAGTTTGCCGTTATTGCGATGCTCAGTATTTGAGATTTCCTCGCTACCCTGATTACACTACGTATGATAGTCGGCACACGTACAACGCCGCTCCTGTGAACACACTGCCACAGAACCCAGTGACAGCCGGATCACACTCTCCATCTCCTGCTCGTGGCAGTTCACTTAATCATCAGAGTTTTGCCGACGTGACCAGGGGCAGGTCTCATAGCCTGCAACAGGGAAACTATATGCAGTGACCTTAGGGGGGGAGGTTGCCAATAATCGAAATTCCAAACAGCCCCCGTTATTAACGACAGCTCGGAGCACTGATGCCAAAGACGATGACAGAAAGGATTAATCCGACGAATCAGACAACTGCCGACGTAACCGACATTATCAGTGCTGACCTCGTCGTTCGCATTGACAGCTACCAAATGACAGCTCTTGTAGACACTGGCTTATAATAAGTATACAGCTTGCAAACAGACCAAGGAAGTTGACGATGCCATGGCACGGACCCAATATAAGAACTGCAGGAGGTCAATTTGTCAGTAAATGACACCGGTTGGAAAATGCACGTCCCGTCTCTTAATCGCTGGTTCCATCTTTGTAGCTACCCTTGTCATTCTTCATGAGTGCTATAAATAGCTTATATTGAGAAAGGATTTCTTGCGCGAATACGAGGCTGCGCGAATACAAGGCTGTGATTAACATTTGCGACAGAAGCGTAACGTTCACTATAAGCTCGAACACTATTACTTATGAGGAACACCAGCCACCTCCCTTCTGTATTGCCGGTGACTGCATGATACTGCCACCACGGTGTTCCTCCCTCGTATCCCTGCACTGCGACATCTTGCAAAACGGTACTGGCGTCGCTAAAAACACTAAGGAGTTCGCATTCACTTGTGGCATTTTTGTTGCTGGGGCTGTCATCAATGTTATTGATGGATGCGCTGAACTCTTGTTGACAATTTTCAGCAAGGAAAACCGACACATTGCTAGAGGCACAACTATTGTCTGTTTCGACGAACTTGCTAAAATAGAAGATTGCCAATTAGTGGAAGAGCTGGCAGCATCTATTATCACTACACTGACACCTGTTGACATTAGTCTGATGTTATCTACCACTGAGAGAGAGAGCCTTTGTACGATCGGTCATTCATCATTATCAGTGATCACCACTCGCTCTATTGGTTAGTCAACTTGAAAAATCCATCTGGCCATCTTGCACACTACAGTGGTCGGCTTCAAGAATTTTACGTCACTGTTGCCTACAAGTCGGGGAAATGACACACCTTTCTCGATCTCCTGTTGAGATGACAGCCCAGGACAACGACAACAACACAGCCTTTTCGGGAATCATGGATACTGCTGTCTTTTCTTAACAGCAGCAGGACGAGGCTGAACTGCTACCACTCATAAATTACCTAAATGGATGAACAAATAGCGCACCGAAGTTATTTGCGAGAAGGCTGGTGTCATACTAATGATGTTTTTTTATAAGAAGAACTTTTCACCTGCCGGCAGCAGCTACTTGCTTGTCGTTCCTTCATCGCTATGGACCTGAGGTACTGCAAGCATGCCACAATGAATCTACCGTTGGTCACTTGGGCAACACAAGAACATCGGCAAAGATTAGTCAAAACTATTACTGGCCGAGACTTGCCAGGGTTGTCAAAACTTACGTGCTGGCATGTCTCATTTAATGACATGCTTTAGCTGCAAATAACAAAAACACAAAGTAAAGGAACACACACTGACAAGCGCCTTCCTTTACTTTGTGCTTGTGTTATTTGCGACCAAAGCATGTCATTAAGTAAGTACCAACTAGGCCAACAATCAGCATTGTTATATGTCTCAATTGCCAGTGTCGCAAGCCACCATCCATCAAGCTTGCCAGCCTGCTGAAGCCTGTCCAAGTGCCGACGACACCATTTACACAAACTGGCATTAATTTTCTGCGTCCCTTCCCAACGTCTGCCACTAGAAGCAGGTGGATAATTGTCACCACAGATTACCTAACCTGATATGCGGACACAGGCACTCTGCCATGGGCAATGGCGGCTGAAGCGGCGCGATTTTTCATCAAAGCCATCGTTTTAAGACATGGTGCTCCCGCAGTAGTCATCACCGACAAAGGTATGTGTTCATGGCTGAGCTTTTGGACACCGTTTTTCGACTAAGTGGTACAGCTCACAGGAAGACATCGGCGTATCATCCCCAGACCAACGGGTTGAGCGAACGTCCGAAGAAGACCCTGGCTGATATGATAAGCATGCATGTAGATGTAGAGCACAAAAACTGAGACCAAATCATTCCCTATGTCACATTCGCATGCGTCAGACTACTCAAAAGGCACCCTTCAGTCTCGTTTACAGACGTGAAGTTATGGCAACGTTAGACTCGATGCCCTTTTATGAAAAGGATGGCAGTGTGACCGACACTCAAGAGCTTACACAGCAAGCAGAAGAGGCCAGAAAGCTCGCCAGGTTGGGAATCATTGAAGAACAAGATGACAATGCCAAACATTACAACCTCCGGCACAGACTGGTCACATAGAATGTGGGTGATAGAGTATAGGTCGGGAGACCTATGTGTCGGCGGGTGCACTCCAAAAAGCTGTGCGACGATGCTCCCTACATGGTTCTGTGACGCATCAGTGACGTCAACTACGAGGTTGTTCCAGATGGCATTCGTGTTTGAAGCGCCGCAGACATTCACCAGAAATTGTCCATGTGCTTTGGATGAAGCCATACTTTCAGTGAATAACTGTACAGTTTTGTTTTTACCTCGTTTCCTGCACGTTTAACATTGGGGCGATATTTTTTTAAGGGGGGAATAATGCCGTGCGCATGTGCCAGTGGCGGCAACAATGAAGAAGCGCGAGTGTTCTTGACTGAGTGCAGAGACCAAGACAACGTTCCAGTTCTTTTCTGTGATCGATCAAACTGTATTTGTTTGTGGTTCTTTGTGTGTTCATCGATCCCACGTCATCACAATATTTACTGTGTATAGCTAGGCAAAGATGCTCCTTATGGGGCCACTGAAAATTGATGTGGCCATTGCCATTGCTAAATGAATTCAATTAGCCAACACTAACATTTCGTAGAGCATCAAGATGAAAAGATAAATGTTGAATGATCATTTCTGCCTGTCATAACACATGAAACCGCAATGCTGCTGGTGCAGTGGCAGCAGGCATTGTACTTTATTTACCACCAAATTCAAGTGTTCAAAAATGCGTCAACTGTTATACCTTCTTTTTGATAAAGTAATCAATAATATGTAATTATTGCTTGAAAGTGTATGTGATTGAGCATAACGAGTGTAACTAAGTAATTTGTCAATATGGTTGATTGGGCGAGTTGATGATACCTGACTGTTTTGAAATGAGAGTGCACTACTTAAACGCGGACCACTCAGAAGGCACCTCCCTTGTCTAAGTAGTGCGCTCTCATTTCAAAACAGTAACCAAGTAAGAAGAATATCATTTAACTTACAGACCTGTCCAAAGATGTAATTGAGAACAAATAATCACTTACATGAAAAAATTTGTTTTGTATAGGTCTTCACTAGGCCCTTTTTCCATCTCTTGAAGTCATCCCAGCTGCTAGTATTTCTGTAGCATAATTATTACTTTTATTTTGGTATTGATGCTCGTGCTTTCAACAAATAATGCTAGCACTCAAACTTCATTATAACAGTCACAGCTGTCACGAAAATACTTCTTTATATAAAAAAATATTTCATAAACGAATGTTCGTTACACTATATCTATGACAAAACACTTTTTCACTTACTTTGTTGTAAGTGGTAATTCATTATATTCATGTTCGTTTTTATCGAGGTCTGACTGTAATACTAGTTGTGTTAAGAGCTGAACAACTGTTAATAGTTAAACAGCTTGAAATTCTACGACTACAAGTTGATTTTGTCTTGTCACTACAGTCTTCCAGCCCACTGTATGAGGGGGAGTCGATGACCCTCAAATGCCTGAATGCCCTGTGCCTGGCATGCTGTGCCTACAACCAGCGCACTATACTCGTGGTGACGGCCAAATGCTGGCATGTAAGAGCATCGATTTCTTTTTTTTTCTTCTTGAAAACTTTTTCAGCGCTGTGCCTGAAAGTCATCCGCGATAATACCAAGGGTTAACCCTCGCTCTTAATGGTTAGTGTGGCCATGTCTTCACCATCTCACATTTTGCCATTTACTGCCTCCAGCCTGTTCAGCACCAGTACATCCTAGAACTGGAGCAACAATAACTGAAATTAGTTCTAAAACTAGTGCATCGTCAAGTGGTGTACAATGCGTGACACACTTGAATAGCTGCATAACTTCTGAAAAGAAAACTTAATAGTGTTGAGTTTAATTCAAAGAATTGCCAGTCAGGCTCACCTGTCTATAGTTGTCATCTCACACAAGTATCTTTGCAATCTGGGCTCATGTAATCTATGCTGCATTCACATTTTATTCTGTACAAACTGTTTACTCTTTCTTCAAAATTTAAATAAAGAGAACTAGCTACATAGTAGTATCGCAAAGAAAAGCACAGGTGTTATTGTGATGTTGTGTATCATACTTCCTTACAGATCTTTGTTATACTATGAGCTGCAATAGGAAGATGCATCGGAAGCATCCCATTACAAAAATAATTCTTTTTTGGTTGACAATAGCTGGCAGTGGCAGGAAAGTGGGTTCTTAAAGATAGAAAGCATACCCTGCATTTTCTGTGCAATTACCATTACTCTCTAAGGTAAAAGATGCCAGCAAAATACAAAAAGAACTTTAAACTAAAGGACTGCTCCCGTACGGTGCTCTGGGCACAATTTATCACGATAATTTGGCAACGTACCAGGCAGAGATGAATGAGATCAAGATTTCAAGGAAATGACAGTGGGCATTCCTGATTAGACGAGTTTCCATGGAACTCTTTATTGCATTTATCATTACCAGAGTTTCCATTCAGTTTAACCTCATCCATCAGTTCAAGATATTTGGCACTACAGCATTGATAGGAATCGGTCTAGGACTTTGTCTTGCAGCACTTGAGAAACACGTCATTCGAAATTTCTTTGATATGCCAGTCTGTCTTGAAAACAACTAGCATTTTATTAAGCCCTGAATTACAAATTAGATGAAGGTTGTAGGTCCAGTCCCTGTTGGTGACAAATTGACTTTTCATCTGCTCCACTTTCTTCACATCTATATCACAATTACTACAATACACTTAAAAGGGCACAATTAAAGCACCTCTATACCTTCCATGGCTTCATTATCTGCTAGTTCTCATTAAAATTATTTGAAACAAAAAAAATGAGCCCCAAAATATTCCCTTCATTGATTGAATTCCTAACTAGGCCATATAAAACACGCATATTTCCTAATACACTAAAAACTACTTGCTGAGTAGGAAAGTCATTGACATCTTTAAAATCTGCTTGTTTTAAACACCTAGGTTCCACTGGTTTAGCCCTTTGCGGTTTGAAACAATCTGCCACAATTCATGCGTTCTGGTCTGAAAGTGAGAAAATCAAAGCTCAAGTCCAATAGGCATGCTCATACATTTACGGATGGTGCCTGATTTAGTGAGAAAGCATGTGTGTGTGTGAATCAACTGTGAAAGAACTTGTCCAACAGCGCTCAACCACAGACCGTGGCTGTGTTGTGTTGTTGGGCAGAGTCCAACGGCGAACGGTAAAAGAGTTAACAAAAATGTAATAATTAAATGTGTCTTTAACACTAGTGGCTATTTTCTTTAATTGCATATCATAATATATAATGACGTACTGTAAGTGTTTGGGGCATAGATTCATTACTGACCACATCATTGGCATCCTCTCTGTCTGGTCAGATCTATGATGCGTACGACTTTGCGCTGCTTTGCTCGACGGACAACCGGCCGGGTGAGCGGTGGATGGGAGGGGACTTCATCTCTGCTGATCGTGTATGTGTGTGGAGTGACAAGGGTCGGGGTTACCTCTATCAACTGCCAGCCAAGTGAGTTTCACCCTGGTTGATTGATTTATTTATTTATAAGCGCTTGTATGCAAAACTACGATATGATGATGCGGGCATTGCAGTGGAAGACTACAGATTAATTTTGACCACATACGGGGCTTCAATGTGCACACAAATCCGAATAACATGGCTGTGCTTGGATTTCGTCTTTGTCTAAATGCAGCTACTGTGGTCAGAAATTGAGCCTTGTGTGCTGAAGTGCGACACATGGAAGCAGCAGTAGCTTTTGACAATGAAGTTATTCACTTTTTGGTGGAATAAATATAGAAACATGAGGGGGGAAAGAGTGAGTAATGATAATCAAACAAGAAAAATCTCGCTTGCTTTTTGTCCACTTTTGTCCGCTTTTTTTTGTTTAAAAGGGAATGTCATGACACTCATATCGTGATGTGATAATGTCAAATGTCGCCACACTCAAATAATGTCATGACATTATCGCTCCATATTTTAGTATCATCTATAAACTCTCCGTTGAAACTGGTTTCATTCCCCAAAATTGGAAAACAGCAGACTTTACACCCATTTCTAAATCTGGACATGAAAAAACTTGGAGAATGTCGGCATGTTGCAAAATATTTGAACACATTTTACATGTTACGCAAAAAATTCAAATTTCTTCATTCAGATGCTTTCTTTATTCATCCCAGTGCATTTTCTAAAAAGGTTATTCCTGTAACACACAATAGAATTTCAGCATTTTATATTCAAAGCCATTGACAACAAGTTATGTAGATGAGGTTCTTTTGGATTTCCAAAAGCATTTGTCACTTTTGCTCTTGGATGTAAGGCTTGCTGCATTGGCCATAAATAAAAATTTTCAAACGTGGATACAAAATTACTTGAATGGTAGAATCTAGTCTGTTGTCTTAAATATTGTATAATCATCGTCCATAGCAGTAACTTCAGGTGTTCCCCAAGGGGCTGTTTTAGGACCCTTACTGTTCTTAACCTCTGTAAGTTGTTGGAACTTAGTTGGAAACATTACATCTCCCATAAAACTATTTGCTGATGACTGTGTCATATGCAGAGAAATGACAACTGAATCTGATACTCGCATTTTGCAAACTGACCTAGATCACATAGCGTACTGGTGTAAAAAATGGAAAATTAATTTAAATATTAAACATTGTTGCAACATGAGCTTCTCCAGGAATATATCCAAGTCACATCATCAATATAACATCTAAGGTGTACTTATCAGCATGCACGGCGATTATAAGTATCTTGGTGTTTATTATTTCACTGGATTGTTTACATCGAACAAACACATTGACATGGCCATAGCAAAAACTAGTAGGTTGTTTTACTTTATTCACAAGAATTTTGTGGTGACAGGCGTCAATGTTGACGTGAGTGGACTCTCCACTCACGTCAACATTGACGCCTGGCAACCCTGAGCGTTTGGGGGCGCGCGCCTTCGTAGATGGTGTGGTTTTTGTCTACCCATGTATCCGCCATGCGTGCGGTTTTAAACAGTCAATAAATGTTTGTTACAACGTAACAAACTTGGTGATGAGCATGGGATAGACTCCAAGCATTTTGCCAACGCAACGGGGAGCAACCTGCAGCTCGAAACAAGGTGGGGACTGAGCACGGAGAGGGTGGTTGCTTACAATGGCTCAGGCTGCTCAGGCACCACCATTGATCGCGGCGCCACTGCTGTTCGAGGAAACTTCGGAATCTTGGATCAACTATGTCGAAAGGCTAGAGGCATTCTTAGAAGCTAACGACGTGACTTCAAATTTTAAAAAAAAAGGTCGATCCTAATCTTCGTCCTAAAACCCGAGACCTACGCTCGTTTGCGGAGCTTATTGGCGCTGAACAAGCCGAATGAAACGTATGATCCTATCATTCGTGTCCTGATGCAATACCTCAGTCCCGAGCCATCGGAGATCTACAAAACTTTCAGATTCCAGATCCTGGTGCAAAACAGCGGAGAATGTGTGGCCGACTTCCTAGCGAAACTGCAAAAGATTACCGACCGCTGTGGGTTCGGAGAGGCCCTGGAAAGGAATTTTCGTGACCGTTTTGTCATCAGACTCCGTGAAAAGGGGGTACAGTGGCTACTGCTTGCTAAACCTCATAGTTTGACCTTGAAAGACGTGCTGGACACCCCCCTGGTTGCGGAGTTAGCATCTCGAATGCAAGTCGCCTGCTGAGATCAAGCGACACGCCAGTCACTATGGTGGCGACCGGCGTGAACGTTTTGGAGCAGAAGAAGCATCACGGTAACCAGAAAGCCAGCCGGCCACTGGGCAAGAAGTTCTCATGCATTCTTTGTGGCAAGAAAAGTCATTCGCCGTTGGAATGCCCACGCAAGAACATAACGTGTTTTAAGCGCAACAAGCGTGGACATTTAGCAAGCCAGTGCTTCGGGAACAAGACCCCAGGCCATAAAGGCAAGTTTCAGTTGAACATGGTGGTTGAAGAAGAACCCGAAAGCTTCTATCTGTCCACTGTTCAGAGCCCGAAGGACACGCGTAACACTGCGTACACTACCACACTCAACTGGGGTGTAGTAGAGCTCCAAATTTAAGTGGACACCGGATGCCCTGTGTGCGTGATTGCAGAAGAGAGCTATAGGTGTAAGGCACATTCTTGGACAAAGTTGGAGCCAACAGACAAAACTCTATATTGTTACACTGGGAAACTGCCTCTACTGGGAATTTTGAAGCTGGTGGTGAACAACCCAACCGGTGAAACGGAAGGGTAGCTTTATGTGACAAAGTGTTCCGGCTCATCCCTCTGTGGTCGCGACATCATTCAGAAACTGAGCATTCTTGGACCGAACAGCGTCACCTTTGTGCAGGTGGACAGTTCCGCTCAGGAAACAGTGACAAAGCTGTGGAGGAAATTCAGTGACTTGTTCAAGCCTCGTACGGGGTTGATGAAGGGGCCACCAGCGCACATAAACTTGAAGAGAGAGGTAAACCCGAAATTTTTCAAAGTACACTCCCTACCTTATGCCATACATGACAAAGTAGCTAGGGGGTTGGACCGGCTGTGAAAAAGGCATCTTATCACTGGTCACCCACAGTGAATGGGCCACCCCAGTGCTACCAGTGCTCAAAAGGGATGGCAGTTTGAGGTTGTGTGGTAACTTGAAGGTCACTTTGAACTCAGCATGCGAAGTAGACCAGTACCCACTGCCTAAGGTGGAGGACATGTTCACCAATTTGAAAGATGGCTATTGGTTCAGGAAACTGGACTTACGGGAAGCATACTGCTATGTGCCGTTAGATGAAGTGTCGAAGAAGGCAGCAGTGCTAAATACTCACAAGGGACTGTTTTCGTACAATCGTTTGCCTTATGAAATATCATCAGGACCTGCAATTTTTCAGAGGAAAATCGAGGCAGTGCTCGAGGACATTCCAGGCACTCAGGTGTTCCTGGATGACATTTTGGTGGCTGAACATCAGCATGAGTTTGGCACAACCCTAGGGAAGGTGTTCTCAGCTCTCCGTGAAAATGGTATTAAGCTCAGAGAGGATAAATGCATTTTTGGTGAAGAAGGAGGGAACTATCTGGGGCACTGAATAGACAGAGAAGGTCTGCACTCCTGTGAAAAGAAAATGGAGGCCATCATGAAAGCACCTGAGCTACACAGGGTCCAGGAACTTTGTTAATTTTTGGGCCTCATATCTTACTATCAGAGTTTCTTACCAAATATGTCCACTATGCTTTCTCCACTCCGTAAACTCTTTAGAAAAGACTCAAACTGGAAATGGGGCCAAGAAGAAATGGCTGCATTCAGGGCCATCAAGCAAGCACTGCAAAGTTCAAATCTACTGGAGCACTTTGACCCAAACAAGAAAGTCATCTTGGAATGTGACAAGTCACCCGAAGCAGTGGGAGCAGTACTTTCACATGTCATTGATGGGGTGGAACGGCCCATTGCGTTTCGCTCAAGAACGTTCACGAACGCAGAAAGAAACTACTCTCAACTTGAACAGGAAGCCTTGGGACTTGTTTTTGCAGTCGCGAAGTTCAGGGACTACCTGCTAGGTTGCTTGTTTGTTTGGAAAACAGATCATGAGCTATTGGTGGGGTTATTTAAAGAAACCAAGGCAGTACCTGCAGTGGCAGAAGCCAGAATTCAGAGATGGGGTCTTATCCAGGGAGCGCATCAGTAAACCGTGGCAGAAGTATGGAAATGCCGATGACCTCAGTAGACTTCCTGCAGAAGAAGCTGAAAACACAAACTGTCAGAGTGACCAAGTACTGTCAACAAGTCTTCTGGACAGCAGCCCACTGTCACGTCAGCAACTTGTGGAGCTGACCAAAAAAGACCTTGTGTTAGTGGAAGTTCGCCACCAAATTGAACAAGGATGGCTAAAGAAGGTTAAAGATAGCAAGTAGCAACTTTTTTGGTGGCTATGATAGGAACTCTCTGTGGACAATAGACTGATTTGTCACGGTGATCGTGTGATGATTGCTTAGCAAGCAAGGAGGGCATTCCTGCTAGAACTACATGACGCACATGTCGGAATCAACTCTGCAAAAGCCCTGGCAGGGCCTGGCATAGGGTCGGCGGTGGAAGAACTCTTGCATGAATCCAGTGTTTGTCAACAAGTAGCAGCAATGCCTGTATCTAAGGAACCTTTGAGCTGGCCAGCCACAATGCAGCCATAGACTCGCATCCATATTGACTATGCAGGCCCAGTAGAAGGCAAGATGATCCTGGTGATTGTAGACAGCCATTCCAACTCCAACAACTACGGCAATCGCGACAGTAGAACACTTACGAACTGTGTTCATGCATTTTGGCCTGCCTGTATGCCTGGTGACAGACAATGGAACTTCATTCACCAGAATCGAATTCCAAGACATTGTACGACGAAATTGCATATGGCACATTTGTACGGCACCTTACAAGCTACAATCAAATGGTTTGGCCAAAAGAGCGGTACGTTTCATGAAAGAAGGTCTGAAACATATGACCGGGGGAAGCTTTACCACAAGATTGGCCAGGTGGTTGCACATTCACCGCAGAACACCATCGGAGGCAAAAGACACGTTCACCAGCAGAACTAATGCTTTTGTTCACACCAAGATCCAAGCAAGGTTTGATCATAAGAGTCACAAAAGTGTCATTGCCAGGAAAGGGAAGTCGCTACCCGAAAGGTGACCTAGCCTTCTGTAAAAACCTTAGTACTGGTGAACCGTGGCTACCGGGAGTGGTGGTTGAAGTAAAAGGAAATCGCCTTTTGCTAGTGAAATTTCGAAAAGGAATTCTTAGACGACATCTGGATCAGATACGCCGGAGGCACACAGCAGACCCAATAAGTTCTAAGGCGGAATCAAATTAAGACCCACCAGAGAAATTGTTCCCCTAATGGCAGCGAGAAGAACCGGTGTCAAATACTTCAGCTCCAGCAGAAGGGCTACCACAGCAGCACCCACCAGTTGTGAAAAACTGACCGCAGTGCTCTCGCCGACCTCCAAATCGATTAGACTTTTAGGGGAAGTTTGCGTGTAAGTGGGGGGGGGGGTGACTGGCATCAATGTTGACGTGAATGGACATAATGCCCTGGCAACCCTGAGCGTGTGGGGGCGGGCGCCTTCGTAAGTGGTGTGATTTTTGTCTACCCGCATATCGGCCATGCGTGTGGTTTTAAACAGTCAATAAATGTTCGTTACAACATAACAAATTTTCAAACAGGCGATGTGCGAAATCAAGGGAACTTCATATTTTTTGCAGGTCAGGTATATATTTGATTACGCCTGCATAGTATGGGTCCCCCAGAAGAATAACTCATAAATAAAATAGAAAAACTTCAGAACCAAGCAGCAAGGTTTGCTTTAAAGAATTATAGCTTCTACGCCAGCGTTTCACAAATGAAGGCTACTTTGGGAATGGGATCTGCTACGTGTACGTATACAGAAATAGACAGGCTTAAACTGTTACACCAGATATATCACTCTAACACAGGAATCAATCACCTTAGCTCCCTTGTTCAACCCCCTACGCATCCACTCACTGTGATACTAATAGCAAAAATATATCTACCTTTAAATGCAGATGCAACACTTCTTTCTACTCATTCTTTCCAAAAACAATAAGAGATAACTCTTCAACGGACTACTTAGTAACTATAACATAATGATTTCTTTTTTTCTATGCCGTGAAATCGTTCTTGCAATATGTATGTACTATGTGTATTGAAAATATATTTCGTGATCCATATTTATGTTCTTATACTAAAATGATGGTGATTTTTTGTATGTGTTCATATATTTTGCTGCACATTCCTATATACTGATTGTTTTTGTTCCCCCCTATGTAATGCTTATATGACGATGTAGGTAATCTGTAAGCAAATAAAATAAATAAAATTCATTGTCGAAAGTTGGTGCACTGTTGTGTGTGTGTATCTTTCTTGTGTCCTGTTGAGTGTCGGGCATTACTGTACAGTCTACAGTGATGCTTTACCAACATGCCAAATCTTCTATCTTTGCAATAACATGATGTTAACTAAAAAAATTCAAAATGGTATTACGTGTGCAACATCTGCAAAAGTGTGTTGTTGGCAAAATTGTGTGCTAATAATCAGACAGTCGATTCGTGTTAATTCAAACTCGAAGGGACCTCTGAATTTTGTTTGAATTATCAAGAAGTTTGAATTATCAGAAGTTCTCAGATAGATGACTCTGAGTGAGGTGGCACCACACATTATGATTAGGCACTGAATTTATCATATTTAAAATTTAATTTGGTGTTTTGAAGCCCTAACTGCACGCAGTGAACAAAAAGCAGAGGTGTAAAGTCCACAAGTTTATTGGCCATATACTGCTGATCAGACCTTTTAAAGAAATCGTGAATTGCCAACTGCTTCATTGCTATAGGTGTGTGCCTTCAGCGCTCTCTATACCAGTTGAGGAGCATCACGGTTTACCATGCGTGTGGTTCATTTCTAACATATGTTTACTTGCTAAGCCTTTTTCCTTGAAGGCCTCAGGTGCTTATTTTTTATTTTTATACTGTTAGGATTATATAAGCACACAAGTTTTTAAACAGTAGTGCGAAAGTAGCTGATATTTCTTGATATGGATCTGCAAGAAGAATGAATTGACTAAATGATGGAGTTTGAACTAAGAGGCTTTTAAATACATTGAAAGAATAGAGGGCCAACCAGAAAATTGAATTTTGTTTGCAATAATTGAAAGTATGAATTACCAGAGTTTGAATTACTGCGAGTCTACTGTAGATGCTCAGCAGTCACGTTCCACTTAATGTCGTAATGTATCTGACATTGCATGTTTGCTAATTAAAATTATTTTAACAGGACCTGTTTGTTTGCTATGTGTACGTGAAGTAACCTGTCTTCACTATATCACTGTTTGAGGCTGAATAGTAGTTAATAACACATTATGGAAAAAAAAAACAACTGTGGAGCAGCGTAGTACCGCAGATGAAACCAAGGGGAGAAAGAGGAGCGCTGACTTTTAACTGTGAGTTTATTATAAATAGCACACGTGTATGTAAACATACTCCAACATATTTTGCATTTGCAATCTGTCACATGACAAGGTTTTTATAAAGGCTGGAGGCGTGCCCTAAACAATATAAAAAGGCTCTTACAACTTCATTTTTTGTTTGTTTTTATTAGGCTTGTGCAAATAGTGAATTTTAGGTTCGAAGGGAACTCGAAGCCAACAGTAATTTTGGCCGAATAACTTCGAATCAAATTCGAATAGAATATAGTATGATGTATAAAGAAAAATGGGCATATTTATTATGACCTAACTAACCTGCACAATATTTTTTTTTGAACAAGGCCTCTATGCTTTCTTCTTTCTTTTTTTTTTTTCATTCAAAAGTCGAAACAACTTTGAGAAGTAGCAGAGTTTTGCTTTCAGTAGGATGCAAGGGATAACCTATAAAATATGTAATAATATTCATTATATCAAGAGTGTATGAGCTGGCAAAACAAGCTTTTAAGCTTAAAAGATGATCACTCGATTAGAGGATAATATGTTTATTAAAGGGACTCTGCTACAGTTTTTTAAGAAATGGATTCACTTAAAAAAGCTCATTACCTTATGAATTAACCGCCACAACAATTTTTTAGTATCTGTCCACTATGAGTGGTGTTGCAAAGATTTGACACATGCTTCAAGTGCATTTTCCCTTCTCGTCCCGACGAAAGCGCTTGAAGCAAAGCCAGGAGAGATGGCATAGTGTAAAAAAATACGTCACATGCATGTCGTGACCTTGAGCACTCTTTCTCTCTCTCTCTCTCTTTTTTTTTGAATATGCGGCTTTTCAGTGCGATCGTGCACGTATGCGGGGACCTACTGCAGCCACCCGCAGAGGCCCAGTAATGTCCCAGCGCCTCATGCTCAAATCAGCCAATGGCTGGTACAGTGGCTTTGAGGAGTGATTTCTGACATTGTGGCCTCATTTGCCGAGAGAAGAGAGCAATATTTTTATCGGACCTTTAGAACTTACTGTGGATTCCAGGTCACATGCTGTGCTATAATATTTAGCTCGCATGTTCTCGGTAGCCTCGACTACCGATCGGCAGCGTTTGCTGACCATGCTCGAGAAGTGTTGCAGGGCCCCTTTAAATTTAAAGTGGGGCTTCGCAGCAAAGCAAATTTTTTTGAGTAGATGCTTTCGCGTCTTTGCACTACTATACTGCAGTGAAACAATCTTTACAGGCAGTTGCACGCAGTTCAGTATACACCTATTCGTTCACGTCTAATCTTCTAAATATTCGATAATTTAAATTTAAATCGAAGCGAATTCGAATACTCTACTATTCGTTCAAATATTCCGAGCATTCAAATATTCGCACAAGCCTAGTTTTGAGCTTTGTTTTAGTTGTGCAAACATCTCTGTGATGCAACGCATTGTTTCCACATCACATGTAACAAAAAATCTCACTTGAAAGTTAAAGCTTTTGTTTTCCACCACTGCTAATCCATCGTACACCCATACTCTGTTTTTTTATAAACTTTTCAAGTGTGTTTATAGTACTTGTTCCACATCACTGCAGTGCTGATTGCAAATTTTCATAGCATCAAACTTAATGTTTTAACAAGCTGTCCCGGTGGAATGATTTTATGCACTGGTAAAACTTTCAATTCTTAATTCATGGAGTACAGATCTGCTAGCTGAAGTCAAGCTGTGGACAAGTGCAATCATCATGGTGCCCTTTCATACATCTTCATTTGACTCCCTTATAGACAAACTTTGCTCATGTAGTTGTTTGTGACAGCTCAAAGGCTCACAATGCGTTCAGTTGAACATCTATTAACCCCGTTTGTCGTTTCTTTTTTATTATTTTAAATTCTGAAAAAAATGGACGGTCTCTATTTACTGGGCAGTAGTTTACGGAAAACCTAGCAGAGAATAACCTATGGTATAGTTATGCAAAATGTAAAATGTATATTACAAAACTTTACCTTGATAGCACTACTCAAATAAATTGTGGGTAAATTGAAGTATCATCAGTGAAGAAATAGTTTTTAGAGTGGCCTGGAAAGGGTAAGAACAGATTTCTGAAACCTGCTTGTGCTGTTTATGAAGGGAGCCTCAAACGAGTGCTTGAAAGTGGTGGAAAATACTTTGGTGAACTGTGACGTTCAAGCCATGTGCTTTCTCTCCAGCCATAGATGATGTCCGGCCTTTGGTTGACATTTAGGCCAGTTGACCTTCAGTTGACCATTGTGCCTCAGTGTGATGTACTCTCCTACTCACAAGAAAAGAAAACAAATGCAATCTTGTCTTGTTCCTTTCTCCGAACAGCAAACTGAAGGGAAAAGCAATTAGGTTGGTATACGAACATCACCCCTGTCACCCCTGCACCTTGGCTTCTGCCACTTTGCATCACAAACATGCAGCGCATGGGCTTAGTGTACTGCACGACATGATTGCACTATGCTCATAGTCGCTGGAAACTTGCAACCCCACCCCCCTCACTGGTCACGTGATCTGTCATGGCTTGTGTTCGCAAAGAAAGGTCTTGCACTTCCATCTGAAGAATGGCTTACCTATTCACTGCCAGTTGTTGTAAATATTTTAGTGTTCTTTTTTACTTTTATTCCATTTTCATGAATGTGATCTTGACTTGGGATTGCAATCCTTGCGAAATGATCCACGGGGATGACAAAAGCCAAAGTGATGCAGAGGTTATCAGCAGTAAATGTCAAAAAATCCACTGTATAATGCCCCAGCTCAACAGTAGCCAATTTAAATCGTGTTTTTATTAGAAAATGGTTATTGGGAAACTACTCACCAGAGAATTCTGTTGTTTGTTGAGTTGGCACATGCACAACAGGAAACATGTGACATTAGCTGGGTGGTTTCTTGTAGAAGGATATGCTGCATCAACTCATTTTTAATTTGTTAGTTAATCTGCATAGTAATCAGTTCTAAAGCCAACCTTCCTTGGCCTCTTTGAGCAGCTAGAGGTGCCTAGGTGTAATCTTTTTTGAGAGTGAAAATGCTTCATTTTTCCTACTCATTCTAGCACAAGATCATTGCAACATATATAATGGATAAAGCAAAACTATGTGTCCAATAATTGATTTCAAGCCAGTTTCCCAACGAACTTGCCTCAAACACATGCAAAGGCAGCATAAAATGCCCTTACAAAATTTTCTTGTGCGAGGCCTTTCCTTGACATGCTTAGTGCATCAACTGCTTCACATATTGTAAAATAACTTACAAAAATGTAAGCACATGCACTTTCTAGCCATCAATGGAAGTAAAAGTCACTCTAGTAGAAGTTGATGCTCAACATCTACTAGAGTAAAAACACGCAACATAAATATAGATTGACAACATTTTTCTTCTTAGAACATGCCTCTTTATGAATAAAGAAAACGCGGCAACCTAAATCCCTGAGGCTAGGGTGCAGTGACTAGAAACCACTTAGGCAAACTTTCGTATACTTATTACTGTAACGACGATGGTAATACTTTCCCTCGTATTCGGTGACAGACTTTGACTATAAACAGTCAAAGCCTGTTGATACGTCTTGTTTATTTTTAGCACTATGGTTGTGCTTGCCATGTTTGTGAAGAACAGCAACTTTTCTGACCCCTTATTCAAATAAACATGACTTTGATGTGGCATGAATGTTAAGTTTCTTGTTAATGCACATGACAAAGCAGCAAGCTTTTATTTGTATATCTGTACATAGTAGTTTGTATGTATGTGCTTGAGCATGTTTGCTTTTCCTTTTAGTTCGTATCCTGCCAGTTAATCTGTACCATTGATGTATTTCGATCTGTTTGGTAACAGATGTTGGTACTTATACTGCAGAATATTGGTGTGCTGGCTTAGTTTATTCTAATGCGTGCATGCACATTTAATTGTCTATTTTCAACCATCCCTGAACCACAGAATTAGCTGTTCACACTGTCACCAATAAATTATTTTTGTCCAGTTCTTGTATCTTTAAACAGTCTGGCAAGTTGGGGATATGGTAGTATTGTTCTCGGTATATATGTTTTGTGCTTAGAACACAGATTTAAAAAGACGTTAAATTCATTCTTTGAGGTCTGTTTCCAGTAGCAAACTGTCTGAGGTTCAGGAGCCAAGAACACCACCACCTCAGCTGTCGTAAATATATACGGAATGTGGTGATCAGCTGCCGAAGCAACTAAGAAAGACAGCTGTACCCACATTATAATGAAGAGATAAGGCATATTAGTCATCTAATCGGTCAACATTTTTCGAAATTTGCTAAAAATTTTTAAAGGAAGGCCCCTAGAACGTTTTTACAAGCCAATTGAGGACTATTTCAAAATTCTTCGTTGTTTGAATCTTTTGTCCACCTCCCATCTGTTCTGGTACGAAATGAAAAAAAAAAAGCAAAGCTCATACACAAAGTTCACATACTGTAGCTATGGAGCATAATTCACTGATAAAACTCTGGCATGAATCAACAATAAAAGAGCTTGTCCGCCAGTGCCTGTTGATGGACCACTGCTGTCGTATTGTGTTGTTAAGAGGGGCTTGACAACAAGCAGCAGAGGGTTTTGAATGTGCACTTTTTTGGAGGAACCTTGAAAAGTATAAGAAAAAACTAAACATTGTATATATTGGAAAAACAGGTATTGAAAGTTAAAGACTAAACTTACGAAGTATTGGTAGCTTCAAACACAAGGTACACCAAAGCAGGTAAATGTTATATATTTGAACCAGTAAGAACTTGCAAAACAAGTTACATGTAGTAATTGAAAGCATATTTTTTAATCTCTACAATACAAAATGTTTGTTTAATGACTGCAAAGCATGTAATTTAGTTCACTGCAAAGCTGAATTTTGTAGGTGCTACTGAGTGAAAGTTATTATCAACAAATCATTTGCCAGTGTCAAAGCCATGCTTCTTGCTTGCTTGCTGGAAGTTTGTTACAGCAGTCTTTGTCGTTTGTTGATATGTGGTTGCCATGCCACAGCTTCACCAACCAGTCTGGTGGTGAGCGTATTGGCCTCGTGTGGCAGCGACAACCCGCCGTGCTTAGCATGTGACGACTAATTCCAGCTGCGATTTCCCCATCCCTTGTGCTGCTTCAGTGCCATCGCCGACAGCAGAGAGTTTCGCACGGGACCTACCTTCGAAGACAGCGCTTTTCTCTTCTGTGTGCTTGCTGTTCCAAATGATGAGGCGAGTTTTTGGAGTCATGCCCTTGCCGCGAACTCTTCTTAAAACAGTCTGTGGGATGGGAACTTAATTTGGTTACAACAGCGCTTTGTCAAGAGCAGACAAGCCGAGAAATAGCTGTGGGGATACAGAAAGTGCATTATATTATGCTCATCGATTTAAATGCAGCATCGAATCCTTTGGTATAATCTGTACTGGCACCAAATACAATGCACTTTTACTAATGTGCCACATTCACATAACATAATTCGGAAGGCACTCAATATTACTTTCCATTGAAGAAAATGCAGCAAGTTATTATTGTTGTGAGTTTAAGTAATTGTAATTAGCATTTACTATACAGTTATTCTGTGCTCAGACATGTTTCCATTTGATATAAAAAAAATGAACACATGGCCCAAAATGTGTGTGCAATTAGTTTTTGGTTGTATTCATCTCAAGAAAAACAAATTAATACTTCTGATGTAGGTTCTGGAATGCAGCACTTTAAGCGACCCGCCGAACATCGTAGTGTTTTCACCAAAGTGATTGGTTACAGTCATACACAACACACCGAAGTTAAGACATACTGACTATGTAGATGGTTCAGTTCATTCTATGAGCAACGTGCCCTGCTCTCTTTTGACCACAAGTCGATGCAACTAGCATAGACTATTTGCATAGACAATAAAGACTGGTATATGCAATTGCTCAAAATAATCCCGTTACTTTGCTACAAATATGGCTGGCTACTGAAGATAATGTTGGCTCTGGTGTACGTGTTCAAGTTGAAGCTATACTGATACATCACAAACTCAAGACAGTGGAAACAAAAGTATGTGTAATAGTCAGCTCTAAATTGAAGCATTTCAGTCCTTGAACACTGTTCATTGCAAAAGTTGGCAAGACATATACGCCGTAATGTCAATACTACAGGGTCATTTTACGCTAAATGTCCAGTCATTTTGTCAGCCACCTGAAGTGTATTTGAAAAAAAACCATGCCAACCTAATGCATGGAAAACACCGAATTGTTTAAGTATTTTGAAGAACCAAATTTTCTACTTACGTGGTAGCCTTCTCAATATTACAGAACGTTGTCCGAGTGATGCTTGTTAAAACATTTATTCAGGCGAGAGCTTTAGACACGTCATCAGACACAAAAATTGACCTTCAGTGTTGATAGTGTCTACCACGTGATGACTTTATCACATGAATTCATCATATGACATCATCATAATGTGACAGATAGCCAAAAGTAGTGAAGGTATCATGGGACATCACATAACATGATGTCACATGGTGATGTCATCACATGACATTGTCTTTTGCCTCTGATTTTTGCCATGCCTTTAATCCTGGAAGACTTGCAAGCATTAGTTTCTTTGTGAGGCATTTCAGTATTTGAATATAGCAGCATTAAAAAAAAAATGCGATTTCGTTAGAAATAGATTGAGTGCGTACAAATCACGTTATATGGGTAACTTCATTGTTGAGGCAGTAACCCATGTCTGTATTTGTAAAGGAATACCAAATTATTTTTACTGTAAAATCACAAAATAGTGCAAAAGAAAAACAGGCTAGACACTGGCTAGACAAATGGCACATCTGCTTTGGTGCCAATATGTCTGTCTAAATTCATTGTAACAGACAACGCTGGACGTGCCTCTGACCATATTTTGGGCTATTCTACGATGCATATCTGCGCATTGCGTAGTAATTCTGAACACAGCCTGGTGCTGCTTTTGTCTACAGAGGCTTGTGTGCCCTCCTGCCATGGGATACTTCCTTGGCATGCGGGGTGGCTTTCACAAAGTGCTCCTGAGAGGAGACTCAAACGGGCGAGTCGTTCTGTGGAATGTTGTGGACGTGGCCGCTTCCGACGTCGCTCGCATGCGCCAAGAAGCGAATGCCGTTGTTCGTGAGTGTTTGGGTGCCTTCCTTTTGGTCTTTGCATGCAGTGTATGTCAAATACGTGGGACGTTGAAAGCCCATGCAAAGATATGCGAGTTTATGAACATCCTTCTGGGTTTATCACTCTAAATTTAACTGGATGACACGCATTCTTTGTTTTGCATCTTACAATAATGTAGACTTTATAGCCTTTCTCGCGTGTATGCAAACATCGCTGCACCTTGTATAGAGTCTGGAGATATCTTGAGAATGCAGCCACTCTACTTACAGTGCAGTAGAGTACGGGACACCAAGATGACCATCATCACGATGAATATGTAGCACACAGCATTCAATGTGACGGTAAAATTTATGGCTCTGAACTACGACTGTGAGAATGCTGGTTGAGGAGAAAGCACTTTTACATAAGCTTTTGAACAGGCATACAGGTGCATCAATACCTCTAAACTTATGTCTATATGTTTGGAGGTTTTACTTGTATCAAAAATACCTTTGTGAATTAAAATCTCATAAAGTAAACTTGTTACACTGTTGTTTAGTTGGTGACGTGTCAGGACATTTATGCGAATTATCACGAAGCTGGGGACTGTGTCGGGGATCCTTTAGTGCTTTGAAGCCTTCAGCCCAACGACAGCCTGGGACCAGCTGAAAAGAGTACTGCTTTGATGTGTTTTGAAAATTTCTGCCAGTACTTTACATTCACCCATGAACTCTGAAATGGGAATGCAATTGTATTTCTCAACTTGGCCATTAAATTTCAGTGTGTGGGTCATGTGTGTTGGCAACACAATCCCACTTCAATGAAAGCCCTCCCCGTACAAAATGTCCCATCCCAATGTATGAAGAGAAACACTGTTTCGTTATGCTTCACGAATTCTCTGAATAAGAGTTGCACGCACATCATGCAAGAACGTTGCGACACCGAAAAGGCTAGGGTAACTTCAGGAGGTAGGGTACTCGAATTCACTACTGGCAACAGTGACTGAAATCCTATTAAGCTGAATGACAAAGAAGAAACCAGTGAAGGTTTATCAAGGCATGGAATTCTGGAAAAAAAAGGAGGTTGAAGTGACATATATTCGTGGTGCTTATCTCACAATATTAAACGGGCAGCCACAAAAAACGGCAGTGCACTGATGTTTTGTGCAACCAGAAAACTGGCCAGGCTGTTCAAAAGCCTCACAGGAGAGAGAAAAGTTCTAAGCAGCTGTTGTGGAAAAAAACAGTAGACTGTTTTTTCAGAACGTGCAACGTCTTTAGCTTATCGGCGGATGAAGAATAGCAATACTTGGTGAATGAATAGTTTCCCACGCATTAAGGTCCAGTTCGGATTAAGAAAGGGGTGTTAGTATGTTCACATGGCTCCGCTGTTTGCTTCCTGCGTATATCTGGTGCTTTTCTAGGGAATGCTGTCTTTTACCATCTATGTATTGCCGTTGATAAGTCGACTTTTTTTTTTCATAAAATGGCCTTTCAAAGTTCGAGGGTCAACCTATACGTGGGATCGTAATGTCAACTTGAAATCATACAGGGGTCCGATGAATGGTCCTTGTCCTTGGATTCACTGCTATTCGACACATCAATAACATCAGTCCTAGAGGCAACGGAGTCACGGGAACTGCTTTCTCCCAATCCACTCACCCCGCTTTCGGAGCCGGACATTTTTACGATCTGGGCCGACGATAGCAGAACTACAGTATAGCTATTGTGGCTAGAGGAGGAGGTGTCAGTAACGGCACGTCGGATATACAGCATTTTTTCATGATTCGTCATCGACAGCATTACGGTTTCAATGGTAGTGCCACTGCATCGACGCGTTTGTCAGGCGAGATTTGCAGCAACATTAGCACTCGCCGAATATGGGTTTGACAGTGCATTTAGCTCGCGAAGAAACGCGACATGCGTTTATAACTTGCTAACAGTGCAACATACGTTTATCTGTCACGAAAAACTCTACACGCATCTCTCGCTCACGAAAAACGTGACATGCATTTCTCACTTTAATGGACAGCATGCTCTAAAGGCCTGACCACATGTATCAGTTGCAGCAGGTCGGCACTTATCTTTTTGAAGCGGCATCGAGCCCTCTCCTATGTGGAAAAAGAGAGCGCGCAGCTTTGCGTAGCCACGCGGCCAGAGAAACATGGCCACTACGGAGCCAGAGCAACGCATGGTGTCGCTGCAACTCTGGACAGGCAGCGTCATCTCTGGTAGAAAAGTAGAAATCGGGAATGTATATCATGCATTTTTCCTTCCCATCATCGTGCTGCCGCTCGCTTACGTGCTTGTGTAGAGGGCGCGGGATGCGTTTCAGTCACCTCACAATGTACTGCCTACAGTGCGGCTTCAGAAATTTCTGAGTTAGACTAGCACTTCCAAAAAGTGAATCAAACAAAAGGAGTAAAGCTCCTTAGTAACGTTTATTATGTGGAGCAGACGATAGAAGACGAGGGCACCCGAATCGCTTGCTCAGCGAGGTGCACGGTCAGTTGGCTCAGGCGGATCGGGGAGCGTAAAATGTGCAAGTGAATATTTTTTCTTCGTAAAGCCAGCACGATATTAGGGGTGTGCAAATTATGCGATTAAATACATACAGTACATGGAGTTAGTATGAGGCACCAATTACCGGCGTGCTGTGTGTAGTGCAAATAATGCGGCTGATGCAGAGCGCGTAGCCAGCTCCCGTCCCGTCAACTAACAAAGTTGGTCGGTTCCACGCAGGCGAACGCGGAAGACCCGAGCACGAAAAAGAAAGAATACTGCTTCGTTCGCACGGTTAACGAGCAGAGCAGTCAAGGTCACCCCCGTTCGGGATTAGAAGGCGAAAGCTTATTCGGAAGAGCGTCTGGCAAGAAGCAGGCCAGGCGCCGCCGTCTGAGTTTAAGCCATTGTTGGCATGCACGCGTGCTATTGAGAATGTGCGGGTGCACGACCACTTGGCTGACCCAGACATAGGGGCGGCAGGGAGACGTGCATAACCTCCCCAGTTGTTGTTAGGATGTCAGGGCGCCTGGCTGTCGCATGCACACCTGGTAAGTGCACAGAGCCCAACTGTGTCCTCACCGCTCTTGGGGAGGCTTCTGCAGGGCAACATTTAATGAGAGAGCTGACGGGGCTCGAGCGTGAGAACGGCTGCCGATGGAAGTTGACCGACGGAGGCATCATGGCCTGGCATGGGAGAGAGTGTCACACCCGAAGAACCTATCCCTTTGCGCGTATTGTTTGGTGGTGTGGTTTTTGCCAGTGCAGTGTCCATTATGAAACTGTTTCTGCGGTTGGTTGTGGCAGTGTGAGCCTACAAGTGTGATTGACTTCTGTGAAGACTCTTTGATCAATCGAGGGTTGAGGAGAGGATGTTTGAATCCGAAATTAGGGGGCGAAGGTTCGGGCTTAGACTCGGGCAGACGCCTGAGGCTGCAATAAAGCGTCTCTTCACCGGACTGCGGCTCTTGCTTCGTGCTGCCACCGTGCACTCGAGTCATCGAGGGGACCCATTCCGAACCTCAAACACCTTCCCTCCTTAGCTAGTGTAGAAGCTAGTCGAGGAGGAGAAAATTAACTCATGGTAATACACTTCAGTTCTAAGTCCAGCCTTGTCTTGTGCATTACTATCTTCTTGCGTTCACGTTTTAAACTTGCTGGAACTTTTTCCTTCACAACATGTTTCAACTGGACTAGAAAACCAGACTGCTAAAATACGTTAGAATTTATTGGAACGCGATTCGAGATTTGTCACAGCCATTTCTCCGCCATTGTTTCACATAAAGCAGGTGTAAAGCAAAAAGGCTATACTGCGTATGTACAGCCAACTGCCAAACCAGGAATTTTTTCGAAGTTCCTTTCACCTACTGAGTATCAAATAGAATTTGTAATCATCGCTTTGTTGTAAGGCTGTGCTAATGCACAGCATGTTTGCAGTTGTAGAGCACTTTTCACTGATCAGCAGGATTTCACCAATTAACAGGAAAGTTCTCCAAGTTCAGGCAGTATGATTTGCAAGGATTTGCGCTCACAGGTGATGACTAAGCACCTGAACTGCGTACCAGCGGAGCAGCCCATGTCTGCGTTAGTTGAGATGTGGGCGGTAACGATGAAATTTCAGTGTGTTTTTTGGCTTGCTAAATCAGAACCCTCTACTATAGTGTTACATGAATATCATCATGAACGCAATGAAATCACACCATGTAACAACATTGAGTATTTAAAATGGAAAATCGCAGATGTTATACACTCTCTTACACCAGATGTCTTGACGTTTAGATGGGCACATGGCAGCAAATAGAGGCTACATCAAAGTGTAGTGAATGGGTATGAAATGTGGTGAGTTTTTTTTTTTTTAATTGGTGGAGATTTGAATTTTTTACGTTATTTTGCTGGGTTCCTGTGACCATACAAAAGTTCACCATGACTAAGGGAAACACTGTTCGGCAGCAGCTTCTTGCCAGACCATTTTTTTTTTAAGTGCTGTTGGAGCGTTTGCAGCACTATAATGTCATACTGCTATAGCGCAGCTCAGTTTGAGCAGGAAGAAAAGAGGCAACAGCAAAGGTGAAACAGAAGCAACAGGATGAGCGCTGATACCTGTGTCTCCCATCTTCGCTCTTGCTTCTTTTACTCATGCTCGAAGTGAGCTGCTCTGTAGCAATATGACATTATAGTGCACCAACTAGCGCAATCTGCACTACATACAGCAGTAGTCAATTCCTGTGTATCTCGATAAAGTGAGCTCATTGCAAGGACAATGGCTGTCTTTTCAGGTGGTTTTTCACACCCAAAACTGGTAGACCTTAAATGCTTCAGTGTGTTGTGTTCAGAGTTTCAACATAATACTGACAGTCTTGAGGAAGATTTGGGGCCTTTAGTATCCATACAGATGTGAAATCATGAAAATACTTCTGTCCTGAAAACCTCAATATTTTTTCCTCTCTGGCCGAATTAGTGATCCATCAAACTACAGACTGCAAAAGCACATTTGACTTCTGTCTCAAGAAATGGTGTCCTTCATGTAGCTTGTTTCTGCAGCATTGCCTCTCGGCAACACGGAAGCATTAAGAAAAAAAAAAAAACTGATTGGCAGCTGCAGAAAACGACTTAACACGGACGTTTAACTAATGCAAGTTCTTCACCATGAAACATCCTTAAAAAGATTCAGGAAATTGAGAATTAACATAGACAATTAAACCAGCTTTTTCAGCCCTGTTTCTTGCAAGTGGTTATGTAATGCAGGGCTGGACAAGAGAAGCCTGCAGAAGTGCACACATGTCACAGCTTGGCTCTCTTTGCAACTCATCTTTTTCTTTTTTTAGAAATGGAGCCTTTCCTGAGCCTGGCTTTGCAAGAGGCTTGGGACGAAATGAAGCCATCACCTCCTGGCATTCTAGACAAAATGGTTGGTTCCTTCGGATCATTCATTCGCTCTAATTTTTAGAGGTACCCTTCAGGCGTGGATTAAGATGCATCGAGTTCTCATAGCATAGTTCCAAGGCACTCAATATTACATTGAAAAAAAAAAAAAAAAAATGAGGGAATGTTTTTTTTTGTTGTTTTAGGTATAAATGTTAATCAGTGTTCATTTAAGTATCATGATTCTGTAGTCAGCTTCAGTTTTTGCCAACTATGGGGTCAAAAATGCATGCCCAATTTGTATTTTGGTTGTATTTTTTTGAGCCAAAGAAAATGATACTCCTGATGATGGTTCTGAAGTGCAGCGTTTTGAATGACCGTCAAACATGGTAGTGTCTCCACCAATGTGATCCTCTGTAGCAGTATACAGCACAGTAAATTTAAAGGACTGGCAGCTGTCCACTCGGAAGGCTGTGATGCGTGATGCACCCTCAAAGTTGATGTGTACAATTGTATGCTCCGCCACTAAAGGGAACTACTTAGTTAGTTAATTCATTTATTCATTCATTTTCATTTATTTCGAGAAACCTCTAAAGCCCTTCACTGGGAAGGTTCTGTATAGGGGGTGAAGTTAAAAAAAAATACAATGTAATAGATGCACAGCAAGCATAAAAAATTGCAGATAAAACAACACTTGCTTGAGCATAATAAAAAAGGCAATGCAATAACATTATACATGTTGAAAATATTGAGAAAAAGTATATATATTTGATAATGCAAGGAAAAATACTGGAATAATATAACAGAGCAAAAAAAAAAAAAATCAAAGGTGAACATTCGGCAGTAGTCTGCCTGACTGGAAAAGAAACTGAAGGAATGAGAAAACTCTAGGAAGGAAGGAAGGGAGAAAATAATGCGTGATATTGACGCCAATAGCTACGCAAAAGCATTTGTTTGCAGAGCCCTCAGTAGGAATAAAAACGAAGTAAACGTCACATGACACCGTGTGTCAACAGACAAATGACACCTTGTGTCAACCCCCTACGTCACTGGAACCAGTGAAGCAATAGCCCGTATACTGAAATTAGGCATGGGTTGATGTGGCCAACACACCATCCTCCACCATCGGCACCTTCACCCTCAGCCCGAAGATTGTGCACCTGCGGAAAAAGCTCAGGGCGTTGCGTACCAGACCGCATGCATTGACTGCCCCGCTTTCATAATTGGGAAAACAAAGAACTTTCACGGAAGAATGCGGCAGCACAGGAATGACCTCCGTCAATTGAACAGTGAACTGATGGCCCTAGCATGACACTGGGAGCGGTTTGACCACCACATTCATCCCGATGACGCGGTGATTCTGAAAAAAGAAAGGAACCCTCACCTGTGACTCTTCGAATCCTGCCAAGTTTAGCACACATCAGGGAACATCAACCACTCCACGGTGACATTGCGCTCCCTGTACTGCCAGGGCTTGCGACGAGTCATGGCAAGCCTCTCGCACATGGCAAAAAACCATATATAAACATCGCACATGTTGGGCCTTCTCACCCCTTGAGAAAAAAGCCAGACTGGCTTAGAAAGATTGTTTTTTAGATGCGGAAGCATCTTATACTCGCGCCTTGTAGTGCGCCGTCCGCGCCATCCGCACCGCTTCTCGAACATTCGACAGCTGACGCGCGCGCATGCGCCGTCGCGCCGTCGCCCACTCTTCCACCATCTGTGCATCCCTTCCTCCTCTACACACCGCGCGCGCTTCACTCCTCCACCATCTGTGCACCCTTCCTCCTCTACACACCGCGTTCGACATCTACAATTCTCCTGATTCTCCAGTGGACGCGCATGTGGCGTCGCGCTTCGAGAACATTCAACAGCTGACAGTGCATGCGCCGTCGTGCTGTATATATACTCAAGGTCGGCGCTCGCTCGCTCTGTTACCGCTCGTCGGTTGGTTTGTACGGCGCGTCGACGTCCAAGGTCGCGGTGAAATGAATTCCAACGAATCCACAAACACAATCATCGACGTCCCTTCGACCAGCGCCGCCCTTTCGCATACGTGTGTACGTGTTCACTCATTTAACACCCCCTCCTACAACCACGTTAACCAATTTAGCCATCGACCCAAGTAAGTCGCAATTTAACACCCCATTTCACAACCACGTTAACCAATTTAGCCATCGACCCAAGTAAGTCGCACTTTAACACCCCGTTAATCAATTATATGGTCCGCATCCTCCTCAGTGTTCCCCCGAGGGAAGCTGCGGGCAATTTTTTTTTTCTGAAGGTAATTTGGTTGGAGTTCTTTCATTCCTTCAACAAGAAAAAAAATAAATGGTTGATTGGGAGATAGAACAATAAACCTGGTGATCATCTTTTAACAGTTCATTAAATTTTGGAATGTTTCTTTCTGTAGCTATACTAGAAGGCAGCTAGTTCCGTTCAATGGTGGTTTTTTGGAATCGTTTGATCATCAAAGCCAGCACAAGCTTTTCAGGCAGTGACACTAGTGAAACAAGAGTACGTAGTCAGAGAAAATGAAGTGAGCAGCAGGGTTCTGCAAAGATTCTGTGTTATCAATGATATGTGCTTGTTCCAGGCTGTGGGGTCTCGAAATGGCGAGCACCAAGCTCTTGGAGTGAACGGGCGTAGTAGACATGGTTGGAGCGAAGCAAAACAAACATACATTTATTTTCGACTTTCAGAACGATGATATCGTCAGCTGAATAATTATAACATCAATTGGGCTCAACCCGCTAAACAACCCACGTGGTACGATGGTCAGTACTGCTAGCAACTACATCGGCAGCGGCCGAGATGCCCAGCGAAAATAAAATAAAGGTCACTTTTCCTAACTCGTGCATCGCAACACAAAAAAAAAAGTGAGGAAAGCAAAGTGAAAATATACCTCAACGCCACGATCCACATAGTTGTGCCACGTGCAACAGGTGGCTGCGCAGATCCTTAGGCCTAATGAGTCGCTTGACAACAACCGCCATTGACCCTGCACCCAGCCTAGGTGTAGAAGAGACAGCCGCAAGGAGACCTCCACTTTGTGAGGTGGCCCTACTCGCTCGCCGCACACAGCAGCTTACTGAGCGATCAGCGCCCACCGTCTTGAACGGTGTCACTATTCCCCGGCGTTTGAGCAGTTTGAGGTGCTTGCTTATAGTACTTGCGAGTTTTAAACAGGTCAGTACCGACTTGTGTAAATCCAACATTTTGTAATGTACATATTAACCGGCCCAGTTCAGTTCGCTAATGCAGGTGAACTTTTTTCATTCTGTTTCTGAAAACACTGTTTACATTTGAGCCCAGCTCATGTGTTCAAGTAAATATATGTCAAGTTTATTAAAACAGGTATGGAGGAGCTACATTGCAAAGATACCACATTAGCAGGTCCCAGAGTTCAGAAAAACAGCGGGGAGCCTATTGTGCATATGAGTATTGTTATTGTGCAAACACAGCAAATATGTGTGGGCATGTAGACAGTGAAAACTAAAATTTCTGAAGCCCTCCGCATGAAGGCAGCTAGAGTGACTCACAGCTAAGGCTTAATGTGGAAGCGTAGAAATATTAGCGAGTTAGTTGCAATGAAACATTAAAAAAAAAGTGCTGAGACAGGAGGAAGCTAATGACATTATTCCCAGGATTTTTACTTTCTCTGTCCATTAGTACTTGCTTACTTATAATAAAACATCTGATTCTCTCTGAAGCATGCAACTATATAGGTAACACTGTAAAGTTAGAAATTACTAATGCTTACTTTGATTGTGTGCCTTGAATTTTGTATTCCCTTCTGCGATGCCCTCAGGCCTTGGAAGTAATACAAATAAAACATCTGGCATAAACAAACATACTCTTTCAGAAATTTCTTAAAAACTAAAGTCACCCTTTACCGTCATTCAGTCTTCTTTTGCACCGTCTGCTTGTGATGTATTTTTTGTTCTATTCGTCATTCTAGTGACTTGCTGAGTACCATCACAGTGATACAGTTGGGAGCCATGCACATGTTGTCGAATCCGGTTTTGTTTTGCACTGCAACTACTCCATATCTCCCTGATTTTGCTTCAAATATTATCCACGGTCACCCGCAAGTTATACATTTGCAGTAATTTTGCAGTATGCCTCCCGCAGTTTTGCGGACTGCTGCACAAAATCCGCAAAACTGCGGGAGGCATCACAAATCGACACTGCAATGTCAATTAACCTGGCAGTTTGTTCTAAAACAGGACATACTCAGTGATTGAACAACTGTTTCACGTTTTTGCGCCGCTTTCGCTGCAGGTAAAAAACTGATTGTGGAGTACTATTAGTACGTGATAGTTCAAACTTGCAATTACTTACGTTATGCATCGATCATGTAGGAAAAACCGTCGGTAGCCTCGAAACTGCTCAAAACATGAATGGCGACATATGGCCATACCTGCAACAGCGTAATAAGCCAACCGGATTAAATCTTGACATTCTTTTAACAGTCGTGACGAACATGCTGCAAGATCTACGGGAAAAAGCGAGCCTTGATGCTAGCATTGCTGCGGCAAACAAATACGTCTTGTGTGCAGTCTGTCTATGCAGTTTGCCCGAGACTATTTCAGTAGTTCGGAAACAACCCAAAAGCAACCTGATTCACAAAAGACGCCACACACACAGCTGCTCTTAGTACCCCCCTCCCCCCATGCCTCTGTTCACCCTTCATTTTCTATGAGGTGACTCGGCAATGCGAACGTAGGTCTACCGGCGCTACCGTTGAGTCCGCGCTGCTTTGTCTGCTGGCACAGCAACCGCAAAAAAAGCAAAAAAGCAAAGATTTTAAGGAAACGCGGAAATGACGTTTGTGGTAGTCGCAGCCAATGAACGCCATAGCAGATGATATGGATGTCTCCCCTCTCTCTCTCACGTGTTCTCCAGCATACGGTTGTTGGGTAGATTGAATTCCAGGTGAAGTCCTAGATATTGTCACGCGCTAGGAGCTCGAAGAAACATACAAGTAGATGCGACTGTCAAAATCTCAGACATGAAGAAGCACGTCTACACTGGCACGGGTTGCTCTTCTTCGTCTTTATCGTTCTCTGGCACAGAACTGGCTCACTGACACAGAACACCAGATGGCAATATTTATATGACGTGGTCAATGCTACAGGTGTGATTAAGGGTATACAGGTTGTTTCAAGAAAAGTGTCCAACATTATTAAAGAAATCACAGAAAAAAGGCTTCTGCGTGCTACCTGTGGCATTCTCTTTACTTTGGCAGAAGGCATCTTCAGATGTGTACAAACAATAATTACAGCTGTAATTATAGAAATTACAACAATCAACTTTTGCACCAGTGGAAACAGCCGGTCGAGTCCAATGGACGAAATGAAGTCCTTCCTACGAATAGTCTAATGCCGTTTTGAAATTTTGGAAAGGTGGCCACTGTTAATCACCACTGAGCAATGAAATCTGGTTAACTTAGCTGGTGAAACTGAAACCGATGCACCAAACAACACATCTACCATTCGATTTGAAAATTCTCTCAATGACGAAACTGTTTCCCTCATCGTTATCAATAGGCAATCAAGACACTTCGCTTCGTGGCCACTTATCAGCGCCCACTTATTCTTTTCCCCCTTTGTGAGGTAAAAATTGTTGGAAAAACGTAGGAAGAACTTTAATTTACCCATTAAACTCAACCAACTATTTCCTCTGGTTAAAAAGTTAATTGTAATTTCTATAATTACAGCCATAATTAATGTTTGTACACATCTGAACATGTCATCTGCCAAAGTGAAGGGAACGCCGGATGTAGCACACAGATGCCTGCTTTCTGTAATTTTAAATATCAGACATTTTTCTTGAAGCATCCTGTATGTGGTTGGGTAGCAGCTAGAGTTTAGTGTAAAGAAGGCAAGTTTAGTCAGGGAGTCATTTAATTTCATTTGCTATGATGAGCACCATGAATTGATAGATTCGAGGTCAGGTTGCAGGGATCAGGGTCCTCATCACGTTTGATGGCACGATACACAACACAGTTGTCAGCGAACATCTAATTTAGGAAGAAATGCCATTAGGTAAACTATTGATAAATATTAGAAAAAGCAGAGGGCATAGCACACTTCTTTGTGGTACACTGTATGTGGCCTGTGTCATTGAGGAGTTAGAACCATTTACAGAAGTGCATTGAATGCGAGAGGAGGGAAGCCTTTAATCCATGCTACAATCTGAGAGTCAGTGTTGAAATGTGTTAACTTGAGTAGTAATACTATGTGGTGAGGGACATGGTCAAATGCCGTTGAGAAATTGAGAAACAAGGTGTCAACTTAAAACCCGACGTCCATGAAGGCTGGTAGGTCATTAGTAAATCCTGCTAGCTGAGTGTCACAACAGAATCCCTTGTGAAAACAGTGCTGCTCTGTGAAAATGACATTGTGATCTTCAAGATAATTAACCATCTGTGGGTGAATAACGGGCTCGAGGAGCCTTGAAATGAAAGTGCAAGTCAATGAAATGGGTCTGTAGTTAAGAGGATCGAAGCAGATGCTTGATTTGCAGATTGGTATAACTTTGGCTTTGCACCAGTCATGAGGGATGGAACTGAAATAAAAATATTTATTTCAAGAAAGTTGAAGAAGCCTCAAAAAGCCCTCACTGGGAGGATATTACATAGGGGAGTAAACTTGTCTGGCTGCCCATACATTTCCCTGGCCATGTCTAAGTTCACAGTCTGTGAAAATACAATATCTGTAGATTGGCTGTGCTGCATTTGCAGAAGATAGTTTGTGACAGGTTTTGTTCTTATATGACAGATAACACAGTATTGATAATGAACTGCAGGTGTTAATCGCATATTTTGTCATGTGACATGTCAGACTGAAGCAGAAAGGCCAGAGATCATTTGAAAGGCCTATTAGATCTGTAACTTTGAATATTTTAAATAAACAAGTTCATATTTTACTCTACTTTAATGGACAAAGATAGAAAAAGTGGATTTGAGTAGGCTTATGCGCCTCCACTCCAGGAGGCAGATTGGCCTCCTAGAAGACGCCTTGTTCCCGGCTTGCTCTAGGCGGTGCTCTCCAAAGCATGTGCACCGCAGATTTTACCAGGAAATTCACTCAGCGTCTCAGGTGAGCCAAATCATGTGGAAGAATATTCTTTGCAGGCTACCCAAAAGTAAGGTGCCGTCGGTTCAATTGAAAGGTGTTCAGATGATTGATAGCCAGTGCTCTGTCCTGCTGTCTTTCTTCTCTCGTATACCCACGATGTTTTTTTACGTTGGTTGTGTAAGGCTGCTACGAAAACTGGTCTACTTCTTCTTGCTTTGGTGACGATGAAATATATAGCTCTGGACAAAGCGGAACTTGCCACAACAACTGTTCGCAAGCGACTGAAACTGGACTTCTTTTGAAGCCTATATCCTCCATTAACTTCCATGCTCGAAGCACCACCCCTCCAGGCGATATTGCTGTCTGCCAAGACAATTCAGGGAGCTTTTTGGACAGATCCTGTGGTTAAATTGTACTTATCATGTGTTGTGTTGAGTGAGAGTGGATAGAAATTCAACACAACGTAACCCAACACTGTAGACAAAAATAGATATCACATGCTAACGACAGTGCAGCTACCAATTGTGTAACGATTGAGTGTGTGTACATTTTAGGAACTACCCGGAGAGAGCCAGGAGCTGAAGCTAACGGCCAGCGTCTACCTGCCCCTTCAAGGACGCCTGGTGGTGGGCAGGGAAGATGGCAGCATTGTTGTAGTGTCGGCCACTCAAGCCGTCATGCTGCAGCTCCTCTATGGGAAGCATCACCACGACGGTAAGAGGAAATGGACGTACTAACCTGGCTCTCTCTTTGTCTATTTCACTCATTTCGAATGGTTGTTGGCCAAGTGAGTTAAAACAGAGAGGTTCACGATCAGTGATGCCTGGCCGCAATAGAAGAACTTCTGATGCGCTTTGGCGACCTCCAGGATTGAAGGTTCCAAAGACAAATTGGCTGGGTTGCCATCAAGTTCTGTGGTCTAGCAGAACCTGAGAATTTGGTCATGTGTTACAGAATTGGGTCTAGCATTAGGGATGCTGCAGTGGGCAAAATAAAAATGTGCCTGAAAGCGTCTCATCGTTTTCTAAACTACTAGTAGTGCTGCTCCATGTCCTGTATGGAGAAGACTGTACCTAGGTGCCTGAAAAGCGAGTTTCTGGTGCCACATAAATCACTCTAGCACGATTAATTTGCCACTGGTATGATGTGGCTGGAGACGTTGCTTTGCATTATTGTGGCAAGATGTGCATTCTTAGGGATCTCGCAATTTCTTGATGACTGGAAGGCTTGTGAAGTTGGCTTTTAGAGGTGTGTCTTTTCTTTTTCTTGCAATCTTAGGTCAACCTAAACTCAAGGATGTCTTGTTTCCTACAAATGTGCACTCCCTATTACCATTTTTTGGGGTTCCCGGGTGCTTGGGTAAAAAGTTCTGAATCTGCAATAAAAACTGGGCGAAGGGTTGCCTTGCGCCACTTTGGCTGTGCTGCTCGCAGTCTTGGTACTGTAAGAATACTGCTAGACGCACGCCGGGGTAGTGCAACTGTTTATTGGGCCTAACAGCACCGAGACAGCAACCAGCGGTTTCGGCAGCAGCTGCAGCAGCACGAGCCTCTACCACAACAAACGTCTTCTTGGTCGTTCTTAGAGCCCGTATTTGTCACTACATCGACTCCCTGGTGCGAAAGGAGCCATCCTGGCGACCTATGGCACAGACAGGACTGGTGGGTCATAGTGAGGTTTGAGACGCTCGACGTGCACTGTCTCGCACCCGCAGCGCCGTTAATCTGTAGGTGGCTCAGTAGGTTCAACTATGTAGTTGACTGGTGAAGTCTGGCGCAGGATCCGGTACGGATCGTCATACTTGGGTATGAACTTTGAGCAAAGGCCTGGGGCAGACGATGGCACGCGGAGCCACACGATTGCCCCAGGCGCGTATGACGAAGGGGATGAGCGTCGGTCATGCGAGTGCTTCTGGCGAGCCTGATCGTGCGTTGTTAGCGAACGTGCTAGCTGCCGAAATTCTTCGGCATATGTGGCGGCTTCAGCCAAAGTTGTGGATTCTGAAGGGTCTGGGCGGTACAGAAGAATAGTGTCCAAGAACGATGAAGGTTCCCGACCATAAAGAAGGAAGAATGGGGAGAATCCAGTCGTCGATTGAATTGCGCTATTGTAAGCGTAAGTAACGAATGGCAGTATGCGGTCCCAGTTCGTATGGTCATCAGAAACATACATGGAGAGCATGTCACCCAGCGTGCGATTAAATCGCTCGGTCATCCCGTTTGTTTAAGGGTGGTATGCGGTCGTTGTTCGGTGCACGATGTTGCATTCGCGCAGGAGGGCTTCTACAGCTTCCGACAAGAAAGAACGGCCACGGTCACTAAGAAGCTCGCGCGGTGCACCATGGCGAAGGATGAGGTTGTGCAGAATGAACAGGCCGACTTCAAGCGCAGTGGCCTCGGGAAGCGCCGAAGTTTCAGCGTAGCGCGTAAGGTGGTCCACGGCTACGATGACCCAGCGGTTTCCATTTGGTGTGTATGGTAGGGGGCCGTACAAGTCGATTCCGATGCGGCTGAAAGGCCGAGAAGGACAAGGCAGTGGCTGGAGTGGCCCTGTAGATGTGCGAGGGGAGCTCTTCCGGCGTTGGTACAAGGAACATGAACGGACGTACTGCCTAACAAAGCGATACATTCTGCGCCAGTAATATCGAATTTGTAGGCGAGCATACGTCTTCACTACACCTGCGTGGGCACATTGCGGATCCGCATGGAAGGAGGCTCAGACGTCAGAATGTAGGTGGCGAGGTAATACCAGCAACCATTTGCGGCCATCAGATAGGTAGTTTCGCCGGTATAGAAGACCGTCACGAATGGTAAAATGGCGAGCAGTTCGTCGAAGTAAACGGTTGTCGGTACGATGAGACGTCTGAGACAGGTACTCTAAGAGAGACGCTATCCATGGATCCTGGCGTTGCTCAGCGGACATGTCGGCCTGTTCAAGTGAAGAACATTCGCAGCTGGAAACAGACGCTGCAACATAATCGTGGGGAAGTGGCGAGCGAGAAAGAGCGTCTGCGTCCGAATGCTTGCGGCCTGACCGATAAATTACACAAATATCGTAATCTTGGAGACGTAGTGCCCAGCGAGCCAGGCGACCAGATGGGTCTTTTAATGACGACAACCAACACAATGCGTGGTGATCAGTCACGACGTCAAATCGGCGGCCATATACGTAAGGTCAGAATTTTGTGATTGCCCAAACAATGGCAAGGCATTCTTTCTCGGTGACTGAATAGTTCTTTTCCGCTTTAGTGAGGGTGCGACTAGCGTAGGGCACGACATACTCATCGAAGCCAGATTTACGCTGAGCAAGAATAGCGCCGAGGCCAACTCCACTAGCGTCCGTATGGATTTCGGTTGGAGCGTCTGGATCAAAGTGGCGTAGGATAGGTGGTGATGTCAAAAGATCGCGTGAAGACGCGAATGCTTCGTCGCATGCTGGGGACCACACCGAGAGGTCTTGGTTGTCGGCAAGTAGCTGCATCAGGGGTGCGATTATGTTGGAGAAATTGCGCACAAAATGGCGAAAATATGAGCAGAGCCCGATGAAGCTGCGGAGTTCTTTTAGTGTAGCCGGCCTAGGAAAGTCGGCGACAGCGCGAAGCTTGGCTGGATCAGGACGGACACCATGCTTGCTAACAACATGCCCTAAGATGGTAAGCTGGCGGGCAGCGAAGTGGCATTTCTTCAAATTCAGCTGCAGTCCAGCGTTCGAAAGACAAGTCAGGACGCTTGATAGACGGCTGAGGTGGGAGTAGAAGTCCTTCGAAAAAACGACGACGTCATCCAAATAGCACAGGCATGTGTTCCATTTGAAGCCTCTAAGGATGTTGTCCATGAGACGCTCGAAGGTGACAGGCGCATTACAGAGGCCGAATAGCATGACGTTAAACTCGTACAATCCGTCAGGCGTTACAAAGGCAGTCTTGGAGCGGTCGGCTTCATTCATAGGGACCTGCCAGTAGCCGGATCGAAGATCTAAAGAAGAAAAGAACTCAGCTCCTTGCAGGCAGTCGACGCGAAACTTCTTCTCGGACAAACTGCTGGATTTGCTGCATGAACATGGTTTGTTCGGAGGAAACGGCGCCAATGGTTAACCCAGATGTAGAGGTCGTGTCGAGGTTTGGACGTCGAGTAGAAATCCGCTCTTTCCGCAGCTCGTCGAAACTCTGACAGTGCTGAATGAGCTGGGCGACGGTTTTGCGGGTCTTTCGCAACGAGCATTTGAAAGGCATCGTCCTCGATACCTTTCATGATGTGCCGTATTTTGTCAGTGTCAGACATTTCTGAATCGATACGACGGCAGAGGTTCAAAACATCCTCAATATACGAGGTAAAAGTCTCGCCTGAGCGCTGTGCGCGGCAGCGCAGGCGCTGTTCGGCGCGGAGCTTGCGAACAGCGGGTCGGCCAAAGACTTCTGCGAAGCGCATCTTGAAGGTAGGCCAAGAGAGTATTTCCGCTTTGTGGTTGTTAAACCACAGTTCTGCCACACCCGCGAGATAGAAATTGAGGTAAGCGAGCTTGTCTGTGTCATCCCACTTATTGTGGGCGCTTACCGCTTCATACTGCGACAGCCAGTCTTCGGCGTCTTGGTCGTCGGTCGTGTTGAAAATCACTGGATCTCGCTGTCGGGGCATTCCGGAACAGGTGACAGATGGGATTATCACTGCAGGGGGCTGGATCATGTTGTCAGGCATTGACGAGGCAAGGGGCTGAGGTAGAGTCCGGGTACGGAGTTCCAGTTTGAGACAACCAGCACTCTCTACCAATTGTAAGAATACTGCTAGACGCACACCGGGGTAGAGCAACCGTTTATTGGGCCTAACAGCACCGAGACAGCAACCAGCGGTTTCGGCAGCAGCTGCAGCAGCACGAGCCTCTGCCACAACAAACGTCTTCGTCGTTCTTAGAGCCCGTATTTGTCACTACAGTATCATTAGAATGATACTATGCGTAAAAAAAAATAATACAGGGGTCACTCGCTTCTTATCATCGAATTACCTCTTCAGGTTCAGCATCCTGGAAATGCAGGATGAGTTATGAGAGATCGTATAGACCTTTTTCAAGCACACTAGCGCCTCCAACGGGCGCGCAAGTGCTTATGGCAATGGTTGGTACGTCACAGCAGCCGGAGCGACGGGAGAGTGGGTTTCGCACTTCAAATTTCCATTTGCACTGTGCCAGGGCTTCTCAGATCAAGTGTACTTGGCAGGGTATGGTATATTACTGCGTGATTCACTCAGAATCTTCAGTGTTTGGGTGCGATGGCCTGTCTACGATTTGCACTTGCCCCTGTTCAACCAGCTGAGTGACTCAGAAGCGTCAGTTAATTATTATTATTCTTTTGTGTCAGTCCGCCTTCAGCATAAATAAAAAAACAGTACAACTTGGTTGCCTAAAGCTGCAAGCACTGTCTATAAATTTCCAAATGCATTAGGAATCAATGTCCTTCGATGCTGTTTATGAGTAAATTGTAGTATTCTGGTGTATATAAAGAGGGATTATGAAATAAGCGCAATTTTGTAAAGTAAAATGCCTTGACTAGACGAATTTATGCTGCTCGCAGCACTTGCATCTATCAGCTTTCCTCGACACTGTAACTGCAGGTTGGAATAACGTTTACAAGGCGAAAAGAAAGAAGTAGGACCAGGAAAGAAATATGCGTACCGGACGCGCTCACTCATGACAGAAAGGTCATCACATGTGTTAACAAACAT